ATATACACCATGGAATACTACGCAGCCATAAAAAAGAATGAGATCATGTACTTTGCAGGGACATGGATGAAGCTGGAAGCCATCATCCTCAGCAAACTAACACGAGAAGAGAAAACCAAACATTGCATGTTCTCACTCATAAGTGGGAGTTGAACAATGAGAACACATGGACACAGGGAGGGGAACAACACATACCAGCGCCTGTTGGGGGGTGTGGGGTGGGAGGTGAGGGGAGGGAACTTAAAGGATGGGTCAGTAGGTGCAGCAAACCAGCATGGCACATGTATACCTATGTAACAAACCTGCACCTTCTGCACATGTATCCCAGAACTTAAAGTAAAATAAAATTTTTTAAAAAGGTGTAACTGCTTATGGATTTGAAGGGTCCATGTTAGTCAGATATCAGTTCCTTCCAGATATATCTATAATTTAAATGTAATCAAAATGAAAATTCCATCAGGTTCTTTGTAGAAAAAGAGAAAATAATTTTCAAAACATTTAAAAAAAAAAAAACAAACATGTATCTGGAAGATGTAAAGAGCTCTTATAACTCAATAGAAAAGACAACAGAATTTTTTTAGATGAGCAAAAGATTTGAATAGATATTACATAAAACAAAGTATATAAATGTCTATTAAGTCCATGACATCTGCTCAACAGCTTTAGTCATCAGAGAAATGTACATACTATACACCCACAATTAAGGGTTAAAATTAAAAAGAACGACAACACAAGGCACTGACAAGAATGCAGAGTAACTGGAACTTTTAAACATTGCTGATGGAAGTGTAAAACCATACAATCATTTTGGAAAACAGTTAGTAGCTTCTTATAAAGTTAAACATACAATTAACATAAGACCCAGAAATTTCACTCCTCTGTATTCATCTTAAATAGAAATATATTTGACACAAAGATTGTGAATGTGGACAGTTTTAATTGTAATAGCAGAAACTGGTGGGGAGGAAACAAATTGTGGTATATTCATACAATGTGTGAAAACTCTTCAGAAATAAGAAGGAATAAACCACTGAATCACACAACATGAGGACAAATCTCAAATCATTATGCTGACAGACAGAAACCATTCATAAGAATACATAGTACATGATGCCACTTTCATGATGTTCTGGAACAAAGAAAACTAACCTATAGTGATAGAATTCGTATCAATGACTGCCAACAATTGGGAGTGAAAGGAACTGACTGAGCAGGTATATAAGAGAACTTTCTAGAGGGTGATGGAAATATTCTGAAACTTGACTGGAGTGTTGGTTACATGGGTATATCCATTTATCAAAACTCACTGAATTGTATACTTAAAGTGGGAACATTTTATTGTAAATAAATTATGACTCTACAATGTTAGTTTTAAAAATATTAGATATATCAGCTGGAAATCACTTGGTTTTAACTGAAAAATGTTCTCTGTAACCTTATTTATTCTAGTACTTAGCTTCTTGTCTTCAAAAGCAATGTAAAACTTCACTGTAGCTAAGCCTATGTTAGACTCTTACAAATTCCTAAAGAGTAGAATTAGTTCAATGAGTAATTCTTACAAATAATTCTAGATTTACTTTACCCACATGAATAACGGATTTGCTACTTAGAGCCACATTAATGCTTAGTATAAATCATACTACATGATAAACATGCTCACATATATTTAAATATAAACATATTTGGACTTTAAAAAGTAAGTACATCTTAGGAGATGATCCAATTCTGGGAGTTAGCAAATGGCTAAGTGCTCCCCTCCTTCCACACATAAGGAGAGAAATCATTCATCAGCTGTGTGAGTCTGTTACCAGTGCCACATGTGAGGACAGACCACAGCACAGTGAGATGAGGCAGAGGAAATGCCTACAACAGCATTGGCTAGATCAGGTTTTCTTCCTTCTTCCAGCCACCTGGAAAAATGTTCACAGAGAGTTATAGTGGTTACCAGACCAAAACTTGGAATCAAAAGAATTAAATAATGCAAATAACCCAATTAATCTGATAATATCTATTACTGCAGAAATAGCGTTAGAGGTAGTTTATTAAAGAGGCATTTTTTCAATCATTCCACTCATCATATCCTGCATTTCAAAAGTATTATCTTAAAAAGGAAAATTAAAAAAAATACTTTTTAGAGCATAAAACATAACAGGTTGAAGTGGTTTTCAAAAAGCTACTTCCAGTGTTCTTCAGCTTTCTATTATGGCAGCATCATCTTGTGCTGAAGACACTGGCTCATTTGGACACACGGTCAGCATGCATAAATACATCTCCATGATGATCAAGTTACTGCCATGTGCAGGACCGCTTGCAAGTAAGATGAAGAGAGCTACCTTAGTGTTAGCAGCAAGGCTTCGAGGTCTGTACTACTCAAACCACTCCTAAGGATAGGGCCAATGCACAGTTTGAACATATCAGGTAATGTTAAAGATTCACCAGTTTTCCCCTTGGAATTAATTCTAACAAAATCTTCCAGGATAAATTAAAAATAAATTTCTCTCCCCATTTACTCTTCATTATTTTTAGCCTCAAAAGGCTCATATACTGTTCCAATGAAACAAGAATTGGCTCTGAACCAAAACCAAAAAGAAGGGAAGAAAATGCAGAGTATTCTATGATGCCCTGTAAGTATTAGTGTGTGGCTTCCACATGAAAGTTGTCAAACTGTGCAAATTCAAAGGAGTGAGTTCCAATTGCAGCCCAGCCATTCTTCGGAAAATTCACAGGGATGTCTGTCCACAGAGACTTGTCATTCAGCATGCCAGAGGCAAAACGACCCTAGAGTAGAAAGAAACACATTCCTTGAAACCATATGAAAATGGTCCTCTGAAGTCTGTTTCTTGATCATGTATGGCCCACTACTTAGTGGAGCAAATGTACTTCTCACTCAAGACTTAACCACAGCAAAACACAAATCCACAAGTTTGAGCAAAAGTTTAAAATAAAGAAGAAAACTCCGGGAAGAAATTCTTACCTACCTACTTAAATTGTTCCCAACGTACAAGGAATACCTCAATATTTCCTGTGCTCCATGAAAATGTAAAACCAACAAAAATGCAAAACTTTTCATGCATTATTATAAAGTTTTAGACAAAAGCTCATTAAAATAAAAAAAAACATTATTTATAAGTAGTCACATGTACAAGTGTTGTGGCTAACAGCCACCAACTCTTCAGACATGACTGTGCTGGAGCCAAAACATCTGCTTCTACCTCATTGCTTCTCTAAGGTTTTCATTAAGCAGCCTCTGCCCAGCCAGAAGAAAAATAATTAACCTTTGCTTTTGTGTTGTGTTGCCATGAACAGAATATCACTTCAAAGCCATATGAAGCTCCTACCCTTAAGCTGAAAAAACAGTAACCATCAGTTAAAGTGATGATGGAGTAGGGTGCAGTGGGTAGAAGGAGGGAGGCATCTATAAGGTGTTACTTACTGGTTACTGACAGTGAAAGAAAAAATTACACCTTCCTCAGAAGCTTGCCATTCTACTTAGCTCAGTGCCTGGCACATGGTAAACAATAAATCTCAGGTCTTATTATCTTTATGTTAATACATTTATGAGCATATATTCACAGCATACTAACTACAGCCAATCATTTAAAACTAGCTACTCTCAAAAGGTAAAGAGCTCAAAATTCAAAGCATTGGGCCAAGAACCAGAATAAATCTGCTTTTAAGTCTTGGAAGGATAATGTAATGGACCTTAATGTAGTTCTTTTTATTTTATGCATGGAAATACTGAGGCTTAATAGATTAAAACTCAAAGTCACAGATTTTTGCTCCAAGTCACTTAGCTCCAAATTCAGAGCCAAATTCCTGTTACTACAGACTTGCACAGCTATCTTCAGCTCTAGAAGTGCTTACTGAACATCTTCTGCTGCCATCAAACACTCAGTATTAACATTGAGCCAAGGGACTCATATCACAAATCCCATTAAGCACAAAACCTGTGTAAGAGGACCTCATCTCTCCTGCCTCCCCAGGCTTCAGCCACCCCAGCCTCCAGGCTGCTCTTCACACAATGTCAGCTACACCTGCCTTTTGAACCAGCCATGTGGTCTGCTCAAATTGTTCTTCCCATCATTCAGGTCTGTACTCAAGTACCACCCACTCAGTGAGGTCTTTCCTCACCTCCCTGGTTAGAGAATCAGGGTAACAGAGCTACTTTATCTTACGACTCTATTTTTTCTTCATAATCATAAACTTATTTACAAGCTTACTATCTCAGGATAGGGCTCAGCAAACTATGACCTACATGCCAATGACCGTTTTTTTTTTCATAAACAAAATCTTATTGAAACACAACCACATCCATTCATCTACATATTGTCTGCAGCTTTTTTCTCACAACAGCAGCAGAACTGGGTGGTGCCAGCAGAGACCACATGGCCCACAAAGTCTAAAATATTTACTCTCTGGCCCTTTACAGAAAAAGTTGCCAACTCCTGTCCTAGAAGAATATATGCTCTAAGAGAGCAGGAATCTTGTCTATTTCATTCACTGCTGTATCCCTAGGACTTTGTAGAGTGCATATAGTAGGGGCTTAATAAAAATGTGTTGAATATAAGAATGTAACACATTTAACCCTCAAGACAACCTCACAGAAGTTATCTGCATTTTACAGATAAGGAAACGGATACTCAAAGAGGTGGAATAACTTGCTAGAAGTCTCAGTATGTGTTAGTGAGGAAATATTAATGCTGTTCTTCTGGTTCCAAACACTCCTACTCGTAAGAATATTAACTTGACTCATTAAGTGCTTACCACATATCAGGTACTATATATATATATATTTTTTTTCTCATTGAATCTTCATAAGAAAAGTGTTCTTCATGATACAATGGATGGGAAAATTGAAGCTGCCCAATATAAAATACTTGCAAGTAGAATACAGTACACTTCAAAGTCCATTGTGCAACAGAGCTGGGACACGTCACTTGACAAGTGCTGAGAAGAATTCAACAGGTTGCTGACAGTGACAAAATCCTCACATTAGCTGAAATTTGGAATATGGGCAACATAGAAGATGATGTTTTGTTTTTTTTCATTTATGCAAAGAAGATTTATATGTCAAATACTGTTTAATGCACTGGGAATTTAAGACGAACAAGAAGACAAGGTCCCTGCTCTTATGGAGCTTATATTCTAGTAAGAGGAGATGGACAGACACGCACACACAAAATGAGAGCTAAAGGATAAGCAGCATGTAAAAATTAAGCCAGGTCAAAGTGACAATGGGTGCCTGACAGACTACTTTACTGCCGATAGTTGGAGAAGACCCTCAGAGTATGTGGCAAAAGTTGAGATTCAAGAGGAAGCAGAATGCCCATAGTTGAAGAAACACAAAATAATAGGAGTAGGGGAATGAGGTGGGTGCAAACCGGCAAAGTCCTATCCATCCTAGTAGCAAGACAAGAGCCAATTTCTAAAAGTAGTGAATCACATTATATTAAAGACACACCAGAAAAAACAGCCAGAATAGTGAGGAGTGGCTGTATCAGAAGTACAGAACACAGAATGGGGGTCAAGAAGAAGGAACAGGATGTGAGGCAGCTGTTTTCAGTAAGTCCTGTTGACATTTTAACCAGGTATGCAAAGTACCTGAAGAAAATTAAGAAAATCTTTTAAATCTCATTCACCATTTCAAAAAAACTCATAAAGTTACTAAAACAAACTTAATCAAAGATGTGCAAAAATAAAACTGAAGGACCTAGTGGCAAATCTTAATAAATGGTGAAATACAGCATGCTTTTGTTCCTATGTTCTCTCATGGGGAAACACATTATTATTAAAAAAAATGTAATTTTTTCCCAAATTGATGTATAAATTTAATGTAATACCAGCACCACTTTTCAAGTAATTGAAAATTTGTTTTTTTAAAGGAAAATCGAATAATATATATAGTGAAATAGCAAAGATAATTTTGAAAAAGAAACAATGAGGAAGTTGCCCCACCAGATATCCATTCATGCATTTACCAAGTATTATTTGGACTCTTGCTCTGCCTGGCTGTCAGGCACTTTTCTAGGTGCTACAGAGCCAGCAGTGAGGAATATGGAGAAAGGCCTGTCACTAAAGGAGCTATGTGCTAGTGAAGGGAGTAGGAAAACACATTAACAATCAACAGAATGTGTGTGACGTCACTTGGGATAAAACCTTTAGAGAAAAAAAAAGCAACAGAAAGGAGTTAGAGAGTGAGATGGGGCTATGTTTTCTATCAAGTGGTCAGGTAAGAAAACTCTGAAGGAAGCAAGGGAGTAACTGTATCATCAAAGCCTTTAGAATGCTAACACCAATTAAAAGTGTGATTTCGGATAATAATAGACAAACAATAAGGAGAACAGAAAAAAGCTCAGAAACAAGTATATGCATATGTGCTGATTTGTTACATCAAAAAGGTAGCCTTTAAATTATGGGCAAAAGGATAGTCTATTGTAATAAATGATGGCTATCCATTTTTTTAAAAATTATATTCAATACTTCCCCATAAAATTCACAAATAAATTTCTGATGTATTAAAAACTTACACATAAAAATAAATCCTAAACTTTTTTTAGTTTGGGGTAAAAATGTTTCTAACCTTGAGAAACAAGAAGGCCTTATTTAAAACATGAAACATAAAGGCAATGAATAAAAAGTGAAACATTTGACAGTATCAAAATATAAAACTTATAGTCATCAAAAATACCATAAGCAAAATTAAAATACACAAGATGGGAGAGCATAGTTGTGACATATGTAACAGACAATGGGTTACTATCCAGAATACATATTAAATTCACACAAATTTGCCAGAAAAAGACAACACGATAGAAAAATGAAGAAAGAAAGTGAACAGGCAATTCAGAGAAGAGAAAATACAAATAGCCAATAAACATTACATGTGCAAGCTCCCTAATTATCAAGGAAATACAAATCATATCTATGAGTTTGGAAAAAATCTTCAAATTCAATAATAGTGAATATTATTATAATTGCTATAAAATGGCTACAATTTGGCTAGTGTAGTATAGTTAAATAATCTATGCTACATCCAAACAAATCTTCAATATACATTATTATTAATGCTAAAAAAATTAGTGCTGTCATTTTGGTGGTTGAGAGGAGAGAACAAATTCCAAAGTTATTGGAATCTGATTTTTAATTTCTATTGCACCCTAAACAAAACTGTGAGGGAGCTATCTTGGGAGAGACCAGCACATTATACACAAAAATTTCTCTGCACAGCATCCCTTGGAAGCACTGTCAAGCAGTAACTCATGATCACCCAGTGATTCTGAGGAATATTTTTATATTTCTATTATATTAAAATTAATCTGGTATTTTCTCTGACAAAAAATATTCATGGAAACCAATTTCTAAAAAACTATGCTTATAATTGAAAAGCAAATTATTCTTAACCATCAAACATAAATGTATATGACTTTGCTTACATCTATAAGCTCCATGTATAGTCTTGGTTCAAGCAAACTTGAAAAAATAGTTCAATTATTGACTTTATCAATTATGCCTCAGTTTAAAAAACAAAATCAAATTTTTAAAAAAATAGTGACCTGATAAAGTCAACTGCTGATGGTTCTCACATAGGTTACCCTCACACACATAACCACCCTAGGGATGAGTGGCTTCCCAGCATCAAGGCAGATTCCTTGTCTCTCTTCATTATATGTCACAATTTCCCCCTCCTATTTTATAACAGAAAATTCTAGAAAGGCACAACAAAAGAATATTTTACCTCCAGATCCTCCAATCAGCAATACCTACCTTAATAGTTAATGTGAGTGTATACCACGTTTTTGCTGTAACTTCAACATGTCCTAAAGCATATATAATCCATCCAGCTGTAACACAAAAAGATTATCCTAATAGATATAATTCTGAGATCTCAATCACAGAGTCATTTAATTCAGTGGGGTTCTCAAGTGTCATCTGTATGTAGTAAAGTCAGCCTCAATAGAGAGCTGTCCCTTCATTCCCAGATCTACAACTGAGTTAAGCCAAAACATTTTTCATTTAGCCATGCATTTAATAGCATATACTGAGATCCTACTCTAAGCTGTATATTATATGTGAGCTCACAACAGAACCAGTGAAATAAACTTAAAAGCCAGTGACAGTATGAGGTGTTAGCATCTATAGTTCAAGTACACATTTATACATGACTGGATTGAATACGGAAGACAAGAGAGAGATAATATAAAATTTCCAACCAGTCAAATTGGTTACATGGCAATAGTATTCACTCAGAGGGAGAAAATAATAAGTTAATTTCTAGAATTACTGTTATTTGAATGCCCATGAGAACCCCAGGATAAAATTTCAAGTAGACAGTTTAAAACAGACAGTGGGGACTGCAGACACAGATTTAAATTCCTACTTCCAGTTTTGCCACTAACTAGCTTTGAGTCATTAGGCAAGTCAATTAACCTCACTGGTTCTATGTTTTTTATTTCAATATCACTGAGGTAACTTCAGATTGGTAATGTTATGAATATATAACTCTTGTTCTAATATCCTTACTACCTACTTCCTCTTTAATTTTTATTTTATTTATGGAGTCAAAGCAAAGAGCAGCAAACTATAAAAGAGATATTTTTAAATTAAGGTAAGAGGAAAATCAAGAGACTGAGAATCAAGAAAAGTCACCACTAGTAAGGTCTAGTTTCAAAGGAGTGGTGTGTACCAAAACCAATCTGAAGTGGACACAGTTCAATCTGAACATATTTGAAGCACCTATTCTGGATAAAATATCATCCTACCTAACACAAGGGCTGTAAAGATGACTGAGAAAAATCAAGCTATTTTCAAGTATTAACTAAATTCAAAAATGAGATTTTTCCATTTTAAGCAGATCAATCCCTCTCCCTATATTTCTATAAGTACAGCAGCAACATTCTTATACTCCTGCTTTTATTTATGGTGCCTCCTGAGCATTCTCCCCCTACCACCACTACCTCAGATGGTTTTGATACTATCTATGCAAATCCTATCCTCACAGCCCAGTTCAACCTCACAATACCCTAAAAAGCTTTGTACAATTATTTTCCCTTCCACAGAGTTGCCCCCATCTCTAGGAATTAAATAACTTTCTATAATTGTAAACTATTTGGTATTTGCTTACATCTCTTCCCAATTAGCTGTCCAAACACCTTGGGATGAACTTTTTTATCACTCCCACAAATAACAAGTAGGTGCTCAAAGTAACATAGCCTATAAGTCATATGGTATTTTAAAAAAAAAAGTCACTTACCTAAATCCCCTGTAACCCTGTAAGATCCATTTGCAAAAATCCAGAAGAAAATTCCTCTGGCACTTCTAATCAAAATACCACCTTTATTTACTCTTCCTGCAATGAACACACCTCCTGTGTCAGGGGTCTCTATGTAAACATCACATTTTATAGTCAGATTCGTCCTGCAAAATAAAACGGTTGACTAATACTCTTAAAATATGCCCTTTGTAACATAGTACAAATATGTCATTTCACAGCACATGCCTCCAAACTTCTAACTGAGGTGAGAACGTGATTTGCTAAGTCTGAGCCTGTAGCAGAGATGGGCTTCAAGAATCTTTATTGACAACAGTTTTAAATGTTACATGACTTAAGTCATTTCATTGCCTATTTAAATGATTACTGGACAATAATAGTTATGATTTTTAAGTTTCCTGAGAAAATATTTTTTACTACAATAAAACAACTTCTCATCTTAAGAATACAATATTTTTAAAAGCCACTATTGTCTATGAACAAATAAAAAGTAAAAAGTTCCACACAATTCTGAGGGAAAATGTTTATTCAAATTTCCAGCAACAAAGAGAGGTAATTAAGGCAATGCTAGGAGCCTCTGGGAGAACATAAGCTATTCCAGGGCCAATTTTTACATTTAAATCCAACAAAACTTTAAAACTCCAGAAGAAAAGATCTAAAATTATTTCTCTGCAAAGACCGCAGAGTTGACTCTCTAGGAGGGCTTCTCACACCTGAACAGCACGGAAATCACCAGGAGGGCTTCTTAAACTCAGTTCACTGGTCCCACCCCACAGCGTGAGTCAGTAAATCTGGGGCAGCCCCTTGAATTTGCATGTCTAACAAATTCCCAGGTGATGCTGATGCTGCTTACCCAGGAATGCCACTTTGAGGACCATTTTCCCCTATGAAGTATCTGTCTATAAGGAAGCAATAAAATCCTGGTTCTAGGCTCACTGATCCACAGCAGTCTATCAAAGATGGGAAAAAGATTCAGCTGTCCAGGGACTGAGATTTTACAGTGAGCTCTCCTCCAGGTTTCCTCTTACAAATGCTACCAGGTACAACACTTTCCTTCTGGGATGCTACAACCACCCCAAACCAACATGATCTCTGAAAATATTTTACTTCCTACTCAGTATCTATCTGCAAGTAGGAAGAAAAAAGAAAGCCTGCACACAAATCAAGCAACATATCTCACATAAGACTGGAAACACCAATAAATCTATTCCAGAAATGGGTTGAGGGGAATGAGATCTAGAATTATATGGCTTTTACATTTGTATCTTATCAGTGAATTTTGCACAGTGAAATTTTACTATGTAAAGGAAAATATTACAAAAGTACCTACATCAGGTACACAGGGAGGACAATCCACACTTAATTATCTAAGCAGAGCTGGGCTACTTTACAGGAAGATCAAATGCTGAGTAACTCAAGCCCAGTCTCTCTTGCATGTCCTCTGACATCAGAGGGAGTTTTCTCTCCATAGATTATCACCAGCATGAAACCACTAGCAATCAACACTGGTTCTTCTATCCCTTACCTGCTTTCTGGTTCATCGTAAGTTTGAAAGTGCTACAAATACTATCAGCACCATAAAATTATTCCATTTAGAGTTGGAATGAGAGAAGATCAAACTTTTTCCTTTTTTATATACCACATTCCAGAAAAAGTGATTCTTGTATCAGAAGTTGCCAGGCAATTTCATAGATAATGAATGAAACAGAATAAAAGTGTGGTTTATTCTTCCACAGCCACAATCTCTCAGTAGTGCTGAAAGAACAAAAACTAGCCAATATATAAGGCAAATCTGATCAAAGAGAGAGTTCAGCTGTGTGCAGGTAAAGGTAATTTTGTGATTGTCTTTAAAGAATTCCAACCAATGCTCACTATCAAGATAGAAGTAGCCAGTTACACTACAATCCACCCAGTATAATCAAATTACTGTGCTGGTAAATAACTAAATCTAGGTATAAGAGAGGAAGTTCTACTCAAAACACAACTCTAAAAACTGTGAGTAATGTGCACACATTGAGAGCAGATTTACTAAAATAGCACTACAGATAAACTAGACAAATTTCCCATTTCCTACCTTTAGGAAGAAGACGATTAAAATGAGGCTGTGAGATATACTCCAAAGAGAATGGGCTAGTGAGTCATACAGACCCGGCTTCTAGCCCTGGTTCTGCCACTTACCAGTGATATCTTGGGTAAATCTTACTCCAAAGATGCGGTTTCTCAGTCTGCAAGGTGGGGGCGATGATATCTCCACCATAAAGTGGTTATGTGGGAAATCCATCAAAGTGCCTACTATTATCCAATTTTTATTCCCTCCTTTTCCTACAATAAGTGGGCACAGCAGCCAGACAACAGAAATGAACAAGGGATTTGTGTGGATCTCTGAGCAGATCTGGCTGCCTCAAATAGAGGGTAGAATACTGGAAAATAACCCATAATAGATGAGACCAAATTATAAAGGGTCTTGGAAATCAGGCCTAGAAGTGGAAAACACAGGTAGCAGGGGAGAGTCACTGCATCTTCCTGAGCAGGGGAATAACATGATGAAAACCGGGATTCAGAAAGATGAAGGCAGTCCTTTCTTGATACGCATAATTGCGACTTCCTGGTTCCTTTCCTTTCAGAATGTGTCACTCTCTTCCTCTTCTACACGCTTCCCCATCCCTCATCCCCACCTCCTTATCCACTGCAATAGATCCTAGTAAAAATTGAGTATTGCTACTTAAATTGTGTAAAATCTTCAAATATATGAAGATATGGGGGAGTAAATCTTTGAACGGTGCTATATCTCATTTCTATACTACAATTAAGGGGCTTCTCAATCTTTCTGGAGTCCCAGCCAGAAATAAGATTGAGTTTGAGTTTAGAAAGAGCCCTCTATAGTATTCAAGTGCATAGGGTATAGGGGACATCACAGAAAAAAAAAGTTTCCTATATGGTGACTTCAAAACTGGAGATCAAAACAATGGGACCCATGCCTTGGATACTTAAACCCAGCCACTGGACTTACAATAAGACCATCGTCACAAATGAGGATGCCACGAACTCCACTGCCATAATCGGAAAATCTAGGCAAAGTTTCCTCCTCAGAGACAATGGCACAAGCAGAAATTCTGCTGTGTAAAAACACAAGCCACAAATGTCATCCTAAATTAGGAAAGAATGCTTCACTGCACCTCAATAACTCTTCCTAGTGTTATAAGAGTTCCAGGGGCTCTGGATAACTGAAAGTTTCTTGAGACTTATGTCAGAGTTTGGAACTAGAATCAGGATTTCTAACGGGGAGTAAGGCACTTCAGGAGGGATAAACACTTCCTGCACACTCCACAGACAGGCAATTCAAGGCCCTTTTCAGAATTCTTTTCTCTTCCCTCTCCAGTTTCCAAGCTTTAGATATGGCTTTTTGGTGGCTTGGTATTCTTAGTACTAGCTCTAAACCTGGAATGTTTGTTTGTTTTTTTCCTGCAGTGGAATCATACTAGTTATAGGAAAAAATGAAAAAGAAACACATAAGACAGGTATAATAAGTCAGCACATAGAAATTCTGTAACTAAACTAAAGAGGAAGGGAAAGTTTTAGTTTGGCATTATATTTTATGTGAATAATATAACTTGTCTCTTTACCAGATGACTAAATAAAAAGTTAAATTCACTAGGCAACTAAAGCTGATTTGCTTTTTACTATTGCCATCTAGGGTCACCTAGTAAATAGATTTTTTAGTGACTAAGATAGTGTAATTCTATGATTGGTCCACCAGATGGCAACACCAGATCAACAAATCAACTCTCCAGCAAAACAAAAACTTAAAAACACCTCACAAATCCGTCTATTTATAAATAAATATTAAATTATAATTGGGTCCAAAAGTCCTCAGTTATTATACTGAAATAAAATTGTTCTTGTAATAATCACTATTAAATAGGGCAAAGATGAGGGAAGGACCCTGAGGCAGCAAAACAATGTGCAGCTTTGTGGTCATCACCGTAATATTCAACAACCCTTAATATTACATATTACACATCTATTAGGTTCTTGAACAAGGAGGACTATTGAAAGCTCTTCACTTCAAAATGTACCTGACAATATTACAAGGGTATTTCAGCCAGATCCACATTGAGAACATCAATCTTACCAGTTGTAGTCTCCTATAATACTGATTGTGTTGGATGCATCGGCAGCCCACGTAATGGGTCTCTGGTTGAGAACTTGGCGTAGCGTGAAGTGATGCTCACCAGGGTCTTCCATATTTGTAAAATATTCAAATACACCAGTTTGATCAGCAAAGTTTGGAGCTTCACTAAAAAATGGGTAATCTGTTCAGAACATAAGAAATTCTCTGTTTAGTATCAAATCCTTCAGAAGTTCTCCTTGCTGATATTTTACAGTATGTCTGAAACACTTCTGAAAGTTTTTAATAAATAAATAACATCTAAACCAAAGTTTAGGGCCTACATCTATAAAGATATATTAATTTTTGTATCATCATTACTAAATATCAAGATGATGAATTTGACATATAGATGCTGCATAATACTTAATCCATAATACTTAATCCAGGAAAAGTCATGAGTTCTGAAGTAAGTATGACCTAGGTTCAAATTCCAGCTCAGTATGTTGCCCTGAACAAGTTATTTAACTGCCCTGCATCTAAAGTTTCTTCATTTCTAGGTTTGCAGGAGGACAAGAGAATTAAAGAAAAGATAAAGTGTACATAAGCCAGCATCTGGCAAGGGCTCAATAAGGGATAGCTTCATTATTTCTAATATCTGTCAAGCAAGGTTCCAAATCATGGGTCACAATCACCTGCCAAAAGAGCATAAGAAAAGCTTACTATATGAAGCATAAAATTTACAAATTTTCTTCTACTTCTAAACTGCAGCAAAAACCAGTTTGGGGCCTAAGTTATCAATCCCTTTTTAGTTTTACTAAATTAAATTTTAGTCTTAACAATAATGAATGCTGTAGAGGAGAAATTTTAGTTGTAATATCTTATAGCTCTTATACCTCATGCTTTTCTAAATGTTTTTGCATTCATTACCTCATTTGAGACATTTAGAACCCTAACAAGTATCTCCAGAGCCTAGTTTATAATATTTAACTTTAGTTTTAAATTTATATTGTAGCTCATAAAGTATTACATTTTATATCTGAAGGTTTGGAATTGCCTCTTGGTCTTCAGGGTCACAAAATATTGGTCTTGGTGCTGGCAGTTCTTCAATCTCATTAACTAGGCCATATCCCACACAAATTCCTCACTTACTGAAGGCAAAAGTCACCTTTGCTAACAGAGAACCAACCAAGCAACAGATTTTAAAGACCTATGTTTCACAAAATTAATGGGTTTATCTAAGAGGCCATTTCAAAGAGCTGGAGAAAAACAAATCACCAAGCTCCCCCTGAGGGTCACTGTTGTCTGTATTATAGTTGAGAGGACTCCACTACACAGTCCAAAAGGCCTTCTACTCCAGCCAACTAGATCATTTCCCGAGAAAGAAAGGTGAGACCCTGCAGCAGTGACTGGGAAAGGGTGATAGGAGTGTCTACCTTTAGTGGAACAAGCAGCTCTGCAGCAAACAGGAGGTTCAAGTGATGCTCCAGCAATGCCAGTTCCCTCCCTATTACTCTCCTGCTACAGACTGTAAGAGCAGATTACAAAGCCACCTGACCCTGTCTGTGAGACCCATAAACCTATAGAACACTACCAACTAGTCAACAAATTTTGTTACTTACTGACTAGGAATATAACTACAGTGACCATATCTTCTAACTGTTTTCCAAGTGGTTTTCCTAAATCACCTATAACCAAAAACTTTTCTAAGAACTTTAGGATAGATTTTCCTAGAAAATCAAGAGAGCTCAATAAAAATCTCGGAGGCACAGGATAGTATATGAGTTGGATCACCCAATGACAACATAACTGCCCATAAGCACTCAGTTCACTAGCACTGCGGAAAGACACATATAAATGTGTCTTAACCTCCACACAGAAGGAAGATGTCAGTAATGGCTAATGGGGCAGTAGCAAAGTTACAAAGTTGAAGTTTCACCAAAAGCAAATTAGAATTATAACTTTCATTCTAACGATGAACTCTATATTTTTTTCTGAAACTGAAAAATACAGGATCCTCAAATTTAGATTTACCATAAAGTAATATAAAAAATTAGCCCTCCTTTTACCACATGAGATGTAGGAGCTAAATGAATGTGCTTTTGACAGCCACTCCATCATGCACCCAGTATGACAGGTAGAAATCAACATACTATAGAGACGAAGTTAAGTTTTAGTGAAAAATACTCACCAACATTGAAATCATCCTTATAGGTACTTGGGAAGCGCTGGGATTTTGGAGGAGGCAGGTAGCTGCCTTTGCGACCAGTGGTGAGAGTGGTGAGTGTGAACAGCTCATCTTCTTGCAGTTTCAGTGTGAAACTGCCATTGCTGTCGAGGAGCTGAAAAAGAAGACACTACTGTATTCAAGACTGGACAAAATAGCTTTTGTAAAAAATTAGCTTAAAGAAAAGTCCAAATCATTTCTGTTAGAACTTCCTAAACATTTGTGGAAAACTGACCAATACCAAGGCCCTTGGAATCTTTTTTTCCTAAGTATTTTAGAAAACTTCATAAAATTATGCTTTATAATTTTCAACAACCTTAATTCATGGAAGGAAGGACTAAATAATCTCAAAATCTATTTCTATTAGCCTATTCTTTTCCACTACACAGTAAGCTCCTTAAAGCTTGGATATATTCAATACATGCAACTAAGAGACCTGCTTTTTTCCCTCTCAGTAGTTTTACTAAGGTAGAAAACTCCATAAAATATCACTGTTGATCCAGTTGTTAATCACAGAAATCCCTTTACAATTAAGAGAGGAAAATCCTCCTCATTTTATGTTCAATATATATTTCAACTAGCAAGTTAGGCTTATGTCACACTTACAGTCTTGGCAACTTAATCTCTTTAAGCCACAATCTCCTCATCTACAAAATGAGGAAAAAGTACATACCTCATAGAGCTGTTGTGATGATTAAACCAGATAATGCTTTTAAAGTGCTAAGCCCAATGTGCGACCAATGGGATACACTCCCAATATCAAAGCTGCTCTATGCTAAATGTAGACCTCTGAAGACACTGGAATCCTTTGCATAATCACTGAAGGCATTAAATCTATGCCCATTTTATGAAATTTGAACCTGTTTTTTCTACTTTGAATTAAAGGAGTTATTATCCTTGTTTTAACGGTAGGTTGATGATCAGATCTATGAAATACCTGATGTTATATTCAGGTTGAAGAATAACCCCAAATGACATTATTTTTCTTATGGGGAAAATCAATTCTATTATGCTATTCCTAGCAATTTTGTTACACAAAAAGTAGGAACCTTTTTTTCAGAACTTAATATATAATAAGGTGTTTTATCACTATTAGTGACTAGTTGGTTATCAGAACATTAATAATAACCAGAAAAAGTGGTAGATTTGTGTCAATTAAGTGAAATAACGTGCTTGTTTGGGTCAATTCGTTCTTTGAAACCTTTCCCCAGAAACCACCATGAATGAAGCACTGTGGGAAGCACTTGAGATATAAAGCTAAAGAAAGCAAGGCTCAGTCTTCAAGGTGTCTGGTGGAGCAGGACAAGTGTTTAACTAGGTAAGCACATGGCCCCAGGTGAATATGAGCTAAGACTGGTGAGGAAGCTTCAGAGCAAGAGACACTTGAATTGAGTCTCAAAAGATGATAAAGATGAGGAGAAGTCATTCTATGCAAAGAAAACAGTATGCACAAAGTCACAGAAGTAAATAAACAGGCATGCTACGCTTTGAAAAATATAAGTTTAGTCTGTGAAGAGAGGCCACTTTAGTAGGACACACATCTAGGAAGAAGACCAGTCTTCTACCTCCTGGGAGGATAATGAGGGTCATGTGCTACACTAAGGAATGTGAACTTCTAAGAAAATAAATCACTGAGCTCGTCTGAGCACAGTGGTCACAAAAATCAGATCTGCATTTTTGACACTTCACTCTGTAGATGGGTGACCTGGAAATTCAGACTGGAAAAACAAGAGGCAGTTTCTGAAATCCAGGAGAGAGATAATGAAGAACTGAAACAAGAAGTAACAGAAGTAACAGTGGTAATGGAGAATAAGGAGTGAGTAAGAGAAATTTGTGGATACAATCGTCTATATTTGACCACTGGTGGGATACAGAGGGTGAATGGGAAAGACAGAGAGTCTCAAATGGGACTCAAATTTCCGACCTGGGCAGTCAGGTGATGGCGTCACCATCCACCAAGACAAACTAAATGTCTAAGAGCTGAACACATCTATAAACATACAAACATAAAAATAAAAATTATTAATTAATGAAATTTCTGTTCCCTTTTACTGTTTTACTGTTGTAATACCCAAAATATAACAATTTACTTTAAAATTACCCATAGAGAATCCAGCTGCTTAAAAAGAAATCTTTCAGATGTTTTTCCAAGTTTGGTATACCACACCTGTAGCTCTGGTATTTCACTCTGTAAAGAAAAGACAAAAAAGCATGGCTGAGTAATTCATCACATCCTCTTTGAGGATTTCCAAACTCAGTACCAGCAAGAATGTACCAATGACAATATTATCTCTATTTATCAGGAGAACCACCTCAAATATTAAATAATAATATTTTTAAAAATAGGAAAACATTGTTCAAGCAAATACTTTATTCTCTAAACACTAAAGAATTTTGGCAAATGATTAAAAAAATCACAGTGTCTTTGCTTCAAAAACATTCATTACTGTACCTGTGTAAAAACCTTTAAATTAAAATAACTTTCTGGTATTAAAAAACAATTCTTATGCCATTAGTAATCAGAAAGGGTACTGCAGTTTCTCAATTCAAACCTAACAATTCACAGAAATAGCAAGTATCTGGTACTTTTTAAAAATATTTTTGGCATAGTATACTGTAAATATCAATGCTTGAAAGTTCCCTAGACCATACAATGCTTCTACCACCAAGAACAACTTTCTGGCAAGTGACTTTTGTAAGTGTTCCTCAAAGTCACAGAGCATTTTACCTCCTACTGGCTTCTGTCCTGTTAGATTAAAACAAGTGAGAAGACAGAAGACACCAGGGCCTCTGTCAATTCATATGCAAACTGTTAATAGTTCATAATATGAGGCTCCACTTAAGAACTACTGACCTGTGATAGAATATACAAATTCTTAAATCAAAACCAAAATAAAGTTAAACATATTTACTTACAAAAGATCCCTTAAGAACAAAGGTAGCAAATTGTTGTGACACATTAAAATAAGGAAGAAATGGCCGTATGCACTTAGAATGTTTATGACTCTGAAAAAAAAATCACATACATTATCCAAATGATGTATAAGCTACCTTAGGGGAAAAAAAGTTCAATAGTTAATGCCCAAGATTAACAGAAATTAACATATACTAAATAACAAATATGAGTTTATTTCACATTTTTAAAGACTTTATTATAATATTATCTTTACTGAATGTGTATTGTATGTTCCTAGTCAAATGCAAAGGTCAGTGGCATTTCAACTGGATCAAATTTTGAATTCATAGCTAAACTGTAGAAACATATGGCACGCAGATTAATTTTTTGTTATAACTGTTTTCCAACTAAAATACATCAAATAAAAAGCAAAAGCAAGGCTGTTTTCACTGAAAAGATATCTCATCTACATATAACTTTCATTCTCATGTAAGAAGTAAAATATATATATATATAATGGATGTGTATATATATAGTATACATAGATATCAAATACACACTAAGGTCAGCTAAATATATGTAACATAGTTCTCACACTGCCATCATTTTTTACTAAATAGTCACTACTATGGGCTGGGATCAAAAGAAGTATGAGATATAATCCCTACTTTAAGAGATTCCACAGTCACAGAATACTTACAGTACAGTTTTATTTCAGGCTTTGCAGACAATTAAAAAACCACTTTCATAATCAGAGATTTCAATACCCATCTCTTAGTAATTGATAGTACAACTAGATGGACAATCAGCAAGGATATAAGAGATTTGAACAACACTACCAAACAAAGTGCCTTGACATCTATAAATGACTACATCTAGCAATAGCAGGATGCAAATTCTTTTCAAGTGCACATGGAACATTGACCAAACTACACCATACTCTGATCCATGAAGCAAGTCCTCATAAATACAGGAAGATTCAAGTCACAAAAAGTACTTTTTAAACCACAACAGAATTAAATCAGAAATGAATAACTGAAAACCTTCTGGAAAAGTCAAAAATATTTACAAACTATCAAATTTCTAAATAATCAATAGATCAAAGGCAAAATAAAAAGAGAAATTAGAATTTTCAGCTTTATGAAAATGAAAACACAACATATCACAATTTGTGATATGCCACTAAAGCAATACTTGGGAGGACATTTACAGTACTAAATACCTAGATTAGAAATCAAGAAAGGATTTGAGAGTTCAGCTTCTGTCTTGAGATACTAGAAAAATAGGAGCAAATTTTAAAAGATTATAAATTGGGTTCAGTGTATACTGCTCGGGTGATGGGTGCACCAAAATCTCACAAATCACCACTAAAGAACTTATGTAACCAAATACCACTTGTTCCCCAAAAAACTGTGGAAATAAATTTTTTTAAAAAAGTAAAAATAAAAATAAACAAAAAAACAAAATAAACAAGGAAAATAATAATGAGCGAAGAAGAATCAATTAAACAAAAACAAATTTAAAAACCACAAGAAAATAATAAAACCAAAAGCTGATCCTTTGAGAAGATCAATACAGTTGAAAAACTTCTGGCCAGACTAATAAAAGATCAGGTTGACAGAAAACATACATTTCAACAATAAGAAAGGTGACATCACTAGAGATTAGAGATTTACCTAAGGGGACAGGCAAGGCATGAAATAGCTTCAAACCTTTTCTTAAAGGAATTGATATTTGACACAGAGCATAGAGACGTTTAAGACTAATGTTGCTCTAAAATATAATGGAGGTTTTGGTGAAAAGAAAATAAGAGACCAGTAGCTTCACCATAGGCATAAGCTAAACCACAGCCCAGCCTAGCATCCTGTTGAGAACCAAAAAAAAAAAAAGAAAAGAAAAGAAAAAAAGTGACAGTTAAAAAAAAAAATCTCCTGTGGTCAGAAGAAAACTGAAATACTAACCTCAAACCACCCCTGAAAATGAGCTGGAATTTAATTGGATCAGTCTTTGCAACAACTTAAGCCGCCAGGGCATTGTTTAAAACAATACAGAAATCCACCAGCAGTTAGTGTAACTTACAGTGAGGTGTGATCAAGGAACCAGATAGAGTCCTGGAAAAACCAATGTCATCCCAGGGTGACTGTGAATATGCCCAAAGCCACATTCTCCAAGGAGCAACATTTCAGGCTTTACAGTGTGTATGGGGGAAGAGGGAGGGAACAGACTTAACTAAAATACTCCAGCAAATCACTAAATAAATAAATAAACAACAACAAGCCTTAAGCGGGAGAGGATCAATGCCCAGAGTTGCTAGCATGTATTATACATGAGTTGCTACCATATATTATATATAAGGTCCAGTTTCCAACAACACACAAAAAAGTAAGACATTCAAAGAAACAGGCATTATTTCATTCTTACCAATGGCTGAAGAGTATTTTATGGTGTATATATATATACCATGAATATATATATATATATTTCCTTATCCACTCATCAGTTGATGGGCACTTAGGTTGATTCCATATCTTTCAATTGTGAACTGTGCTACAACAAACATATGTGTGCAGGCGACTTTTTGATACAATGACTTCTTTTCTTTTGGGTAGATACCCAGTAGTGGGTTTGCAGGAATGAATGGTAGATCAATCTACTTTAGTTCTTTGATAAATCTCCACACTGTTTTCCCTATAGGTTGTACTAACTTACATTCTCACCAGCAGTGGATAAGCACTCTCTTTTCACCACATGCATGCCAACATCTATTGTTTTTTGACGTTTCTTAATGGCCATTCTGGCTGGCTTAAGGTGGTATCTCACTGTGGTTCTAATTTGCATTTCCCTGATGATTAGTGATGTTGAGCATTTTTTTCATCTGTTTTTTGGCTATTTGTATATCTTCTTTTGAGAAATGTCTATTCATGTCACCTGCCACATTTTAATGGGATTTGTGCTTTTCTTGCTGGTTTGAGTTCCTTATAGATTCTGGATGCTAGTCTTTTGTCAGATGCGTAATTTGTAAATGTCTTCTCCCATTCTGTAGGTTGTCTGTTTACTCCAATGATTCTTTGCTTTGCAGAAGCTTTTTAGTTTAATTAGGTCCCATTTATTTATTTTTGTTTTGCTGCATTTGCTTTTGCGGTCTTAGTCATAAATTATTTGCCTAGGTCAATGTACAGAATAATTTTTCCTAGATTTTCTTCTAGAATTTTCATGGTTTCAGGTCTTAGGTTGAAGCCTTTAATCCATCTTGAGTAAATTTCTGTATATGTTGAGGTGAGAGGTAGGGATGCAGTTTCCTTATTCTATATGTTGCTATCCAATTTTCCCAGCACCATTTATTAAATGGGATGTCCTTTCCCCAAATTTATATTTTTGAATGCTTTGTCAAAGATCAGTTGGTTTTAAGTATTTGGCTTTATCTTTGGGTTCTCTATTCTGCTCTATTGATATATGACTGCTAGACCTGATAAACGAATTCAGGAAAGTTTCAGGTTACAAAATCAATGTACACAAACAATGTGCATAAATCAGCAGCACTGCTATATACCAATAATGACAAAGCTGAGAATCAAATCAATAATTCAATCTCTTTTAGAATAGCTACAAAAAATATATAAGAATATACTTAACCAAGAACCAATAGTTATAAAAGGAGAACTATTATACAAAACACTACTGAAAGAAATAATAGATGATGCAAACAAATGGAAATACATCCCATGCTCATGGATTAGAAAAATCAATATTGTGAAAATGTTACTACAATGCCCAAAGCAATCTACATATTCAGTGTAATTCCTATCAAAATACCAACATCCTCTTTCACAGAATTAGAAAAAACAATCCTAAAATTCATATGGAACCAAAAAAAGAATCCAAATAGCCAAAGCAATCCTAAACAAAAAGAACAATCTGGAGGCATCACATTATCTAACTTCAAATTATACTATAAGGCTATAGTAACCAAAACAGCATGTTATTGGTTTAAAAACATCAATTTATATATAAAGTAACAATGTCCTACTGAGTTTGCATCATGCAGTGTTGTGATATGTGTGCTAATAATAGAAAAAAAGGGGAAAGGGAACAGACCAACAAGGGAATTCAGCATAATCTACTGGAATTCGGTTAGTTTAAATCTGAAGTGAGTCCAGTAAGTTAAGATGTATATGGTAAGCCCTAGAATAATCACTAAAAAATAACTCACAAAAATATAGTGAATAATTAATATTGTTAACATGGCCGTACTACCCAAAGCAATCTATAGATTTAACGCAATCTGTATCAAAATGTCAAGGACATTCTTCACATAAATAGAAAACACAACCATAAAATTTATATAGGAACACAGAAGACCACAAACAGCCAATGCAACCCTGAGCAAAAAGAACAAAGCTGAAGGCATCACACTACCTGACTTCAAAATATACTAAAAGCCTATAGTAACTATTAATAAAACAGCATGGTTTTGGCATAAAAGCGGACACACAGACAAATGGAACAGAATAGAAAGTCCAGAAATAAATTCATGCCCTATGACCAACTAATTTTCAACAAAGGTGCCAAGAATACACACTGGGAAAAAGGACAGTCTCTTCAATAAACAGTACTGGGAAAAATGGACAGCCACACGCAGAAGATGAAACTGGATCCCTACCTCTCACAATATACACAAGTCAACTCAAAATTGATTACATACTTAAATATAAAACCCGAAACTATGAAACTAGAAAAAAACAAAGGGAAAATGCTTTATGACAATGAAGTGGGCAAGAATTTTTTTAAATAAGACCTCAAAAGCACAGACAAAGCAACAACAGACAAAGGGATTACATCAAACTGAAAAGCTTTTGCACATAGTTACCATGTGACCCAGCAATTCCACTCCTACATATATACCCAAGAGAACTGAAAACACGTCCACAGAAAAACTTGTACACATATGCTAATCCACATCATTAGTCATAACAGCCATAAAGGGGTTCAAGACACACTGCCCCCAAATATTTTACAGTGAAGTAATCTGAGAAAAATGCAGAAGCAGGAAGTTTACTCTCTGCCCTTCTCCTTTCTCCTCTGAAGCAGGTCGCAAAAGAAACAAAGTAAAACAGCCTACAAAATGGGAGGAAATATTTGCAAATTATACATGAGACAAGGGGTTAATATCTAGATTATATAAAGAACTTAAACAACAAGAACAACAACAAAATAGTCCGATTTGAAACTGGGCAAAAGACTGTTCAGACATTTCTCAGAAGAAGACATATAAATGATTAACGGGTACATGAAAAAATACTCAACATCACTAATCATCAGGGAAATGCAAATCAAAACCACAATGGGATACCACTTCCCTCTACTTAGAATGGCTATCACCAAAAAGACAAAAATAAAACAAGTGTTGGTGAGGATGTGGAAAAAAAGAAATACTTACTTAATGTTGGTGGGGTTGTAAATTGGTACAGCCACTATGAAAGATTCCTAAAAAATTAAAAATAGGCGGGGCATGTGGTAGCTCACGCCCATAATCCCAGCACTTTGGGAGGCTGAGGTGGGCAGATCACTTGATGTCAGGACTTCGAGACCAGCCTGGCAAATGGTGAAACCCCGTCTCCACTAAAAATACAAAAATGAGCCAGGTATGGTGGCAGGCGCCTGTAATCCCAATCACTCAGGAGGCTGAGGCAGAAGAATCGCTTGAACCCAGGAGGCAGAGGTTGCAGGGAGCTGAGATTGTACCACTGCACTCCAGCCTGGAAGTGCAGAGTGACATCTGCCTCAAAAAAAAAAAAAAAAAATTAAAAGAACTACCATATGATCCAGTAATCCCACTACTGTGTATATATCCCCCAAAATAAAATATGTATTGTTGAAGAAGTATCTGCACTCCCATGTTTGTTAAAACACTATTTATAATAGCCAACCTGAGTGTTCAACAATGAATGCATGAATAAAGAAAGTGTGATATATATACACAGTGGAGCATTATTAGTCATAGAATGAAATCCTGATATTTGCAACAACATGGTGGAATATGGAGGATATCATGTTAAGTGAAATAAGCCAGACACAATAAGACAAACACCTCATCACACTTACATGTGGAATTTAAAAAAAGAAGAGTTGACATCACAGATGCAGAGAGTAGAACAGTGGTTACCAGACACTTGGGTAGGGCTGGGGAGGGAAGGACAGGAAGAGGTCGGTCGATGGGTCCAAAGTACCTATTGCACAGGAGGTATAAGCTCTGGTGTTTTATTGCACACTAGGGTGAAGATGGTTAACAGTAAGGTTTTGAGTATTACAAAACAGCTAGAAGAGAGGCTTTTGAATGCTTTCATTACAAAGAAATGATAAATTCATGAGGTGATGGGCATACCCTGAGTTGATCATTATCCCACATGTATGTATCAAAACATCAAATTGTACCGTGTGTCAATAAAAAACAAAAATTTCCTGATTTCAAAAGTTACCAGATAGCTACAGTACTTAAGACAGTGTGGTGCTCACATTAGGATAGATATATAGGCCAACAGAATAAAATTGAGGTTCCAGAAATAAACCCTCAAATTTATTGCCAATTGATTTTCAACAAGGGTGCCACGACAATTCAATGAAAAAGGAATAGTCTTTTCAAAAAATAGTGCAGGGACAACTGGATATCAAAATGCAAAAGAATCAAGTTGGACACACATATAGCCCCAGTTAAGAAAGAAAATGGACCAAAAATCTAAATTTAAGAATTAAAACTCTAAAACTCTTAAAGGAATACATAAACATAAATCTTCAGAACCTTGAATTAGGCAATAATTTCTTAGATATGACACCAAAAGCACAAGAAACAAAAAAGAAAACAAAGTGAACTTCATCACAATTTAAAACTTTTTTTAATTCAAAGGGTACCATTAAGAAAATGAAAGACAACCCATACAAAGGGAGAAAATATCTGCAAATTATATTTCTGATTTCTGATAAGGAATTTTTATATAGAATAAAGAACACTTATGACTCAATAATAAAAACACAAATATTCCAATCTAAAAATGGGGAGAGTTTAAACAGACATTTCTCCAAAGAAGATATACTACTTGCCAATAAGCACATGAAAAGATCCCTACATCATTAGTCCCTAGGAAAATGCAAATCGAACTACAATAACAGCACTTCATATCCACTAGGATGGCTATAATCAAAGGCACAGACAATAAGAACTGTTGGGGAGGATGTGGAAAACTGTAAGCTTCATAAACTACTGGTGACAATGTAAAATGGTGTAGTAACTTTGGAAAACAATTTGGTAGTTCCTCAAAATCCGAAAGACAGAGTTACCATGTGATCTAGCAATTCCACTCCTACATATATACCCAAGAGAACTGAAAACACATCCACAGAAAAACTTGTACACACATGCTAATCCACATCATTAGTCATAACAGCCATGAAGGGGTTCAAGACACACTGCCCCCAAATATTTTAAAGTGAAGTAATCTGAGAAAAATGCAGAAGCAGGAAGTTTACTCTCTGCCCTTCTCCTTTCTACTCTGAAGCAGGTCATAAGACCCTCATTCAACAGGTGCTCTCCCTATATTCCTTATCTCTGAAGACAGTTTCTGGTGAAGATGAAATGCCTACTCACTCTATGAGCCTGCAGATGAGATCCTGAGACACTGACAAAAAGCTGGCAGAAAGGTAAGAATTCTCACCAAGTCCTGCTCTTCTAGATCTCTGCCTGAAGTACTTGATTAAGAGAAGACAATTAAAAACAAACAAACAACAAAAAAAACTTCTCATCCTTTCCTCTCCAAATTCAGATTAGCAGAAGAAAAATATTTGTTTGGTTTGTGACTCTTATATAAATTTAGTTTTGGGTACTCATTACCTGTAGATCCCTTCCCTCCCAGGGTCAGCTATTGCTTTCCTATTTGTCTCATTTTGTGCACTGAGAACCTGGCTTGACTTCACATCTGTCAGGGATGTGTGAGCTGTCAGTTTTGCGTATGCAGGCAGCCACCTTCAAGGTGGGGGCCCCAAGAGTACAACCGGACAAAAATGTGATTTGCACTCCATTGGCAGCTAGTTTACCAACTACTGCCAGTTCTGACGGGGAGTGGGGAGTAGGGAGGTTATCTGGGTCCTTCTTTTGACTATCCTTGGGAGTGGTTCTAGGTCTTTGGAGGATCACTTCTCAGCCTTTTATTTAAAAAATTTTAGCCATGAGTCACAAAACATAGCACACAACTTGTATTTACATGGAAATACATAAGCATACAGACAGACGCCAAGATCTTATGGCTTTTATTTTAAAAATTTTAGCCAGGAGTCATAAAACATAGCACACAACTCACTGATTTATACAAAATATTCGGCTCGCATCCTTTCTCGGTGATCAAGTGTAGATTTTGGGAGGGCTGCATCTTTTTACACCCTCTTTTGAGAATCCTCTTCACCCAGGGTAAGACATAAAAGGCTTATTGTTTTGTGTTTTGAGTCACTTAATAGATACCTTTGGTTTAAAAAATCAATACTGCCAGGAATATTTACTCTTTGTCCTGGCTCAAACCTGATGGTAGGCTATTTGAAAGAATTTTTTTTAAGAGTCTATGGTCAGGAGTTGGACAAACTGTAGGCTGACATTCAGAACCTGATATGATACACATAAACACACACACACACACACACACACACTCTTACACTTTTTTAAAGGTTACTCTGTTCTCTGTTTTGGATCTTACTTCTCCCATGGGAACTTAATTGCTAAAAATCCTTCTTCACATAAGCCCTGCTGACTATATGCACTTCCCATTCTGTTTACCTCCTTCTTGTTGGAACTTCATTGACCTCTTTGGGAAGCTTGAGATCTCCCCAAACTGGTACCTCTAAGACTTCTTCTCTCCATTTGGTTCTGCTTCTCCATCCACCTTTTTTCACCTTCATTCTTTCATTCAGTTCTCTTGAATCCTTGATATGTCCGCCTTCAAGCTCCTACCTCTTCCCATGCCTCTGTCCACGTGTCAGACCTATTCCCTTCCTACTCAAGCCCCTCAGTCACCTGAATTTTAAGCTCCTTGCTCTCAACAGACTTAAGGTCTCCCCAAAACAACCCAAAACAACCTGAGGATGAAAAAGGAAAGAGTCACAGCCTCCATAAGATGACATATCAGGGCAAGGGAAGGTCGTGAAGGTCTTCTCCACAAATATTGGTAAATAGGTAACCTTAATTTTGTCCCAATTGCCAGAAACAAAGTGGAGAAAAGATGAGAGCTGACTATTTTGTATAAATCAGTGAGTTGTGTGCTACATTTTATGACTCATGGCTAAAATTTTTTTAATAAAAGCCATAAGATCTTGGCGTCTGTCTGTATGTTTATGTATTTACATGTAAAAAAAGTATTCAGTTTTATATAATGTTATTTTTCCAATAGTAAAGAAGTGAGTTAACCCAATAGCAACAACAAAAGTTTACCATGGTTTCAATGATGATGGTGAGGTTCCCTAAGCCATCAGTCAGAGCTACATAGCTTCCTCCTTTCTCTAAATGGCCAACTGTCTTCAGGTAATACCAGCCAGGTTGAGTAAACTGAGTGGTATGAGCTATAGAAAAACAAAGTTTGAAATAAGATAAAAATGGCAATAATAGTATTTCTTTTGGAAAAAATAAAGCTGTATATCAGTTTAGGTCTGATTGAGTCAAACAAGCTATTTTCTATTTTGGAGGAATGTATCTGTCAACCTCGTGTTTAAATTTTTAAATAATTAATCTAGATAAATGAAATAATTGCAAGAATATTCCCGGAATGATAGGTAAAAATAAATGAACCTGTCAGTTCAAGAATATGATCAGTCTTTTCTTCAAGAACACAATAGTTATTCCCCCGCAACCTTAGTTCCTCACTATTTAACCCATCCTAAAATAGCTACCAATAAAAAGGTTAAAAAAGTTAATAACGAATTTCAGAAACTAACTTTATGGTTTCAAACATATTTATTTCCACCACATGTACACTTATTGGTCACCTCCTAAGCTCGTCCTGAAAATGCACTGAGCAATATACCATGTCCCAACCCTTGGAAAAGTCACAAAATTAAGAGCATTAGTTCATCTAGATAATGTGGGGCCAACAATTTCAACATTCAAGGGGCTGATACACAAGTCTAACCTTAATTTTCTCATATGATTCTCAATATTAGAATATACAAGTTTAATATACAAGTCTAACCTTAATTTTCTCATATTTTTGGGAGGATAATTTAAGGAGTTTAGAATAACATCATGATTACATGATTAATATGATTACAAATCTGTCTTAGGAGAGCACAACTAAAAGGGAAAACCACCAAATTTAAGTTTAAAATAAAAACAAATTCACTCCAAATTCATAATTTTCTTCTGAAAGGATTTTACCTTTAAAGAAATTAGCTTTTTAGAAAGATTGTTAGGATTTTTAAACAAAATGGTCATAAATGTTTAATATTTTACAAAAAAAATTGCAGAAAAAATTTCAACATTATTCAGCAACAGATTTTGTTATTTTGTTTAGATTATATTCACTATTAGTATGGTTATATCTCTTCATGAAAAAGTGACACTATGCCATGCATCCCTGCATAATCTCAACTTCCCTTGTGACTAAGGAATGATACTGTACCGAAACTTTTGTATTTCAATAAAAAATGGATGTATTATCTATAGCCCTGCTCATTGTCTCTGAGCTATATAAATTATGTCTTGTCTGGTAGAAATTTAATTAACTTCTTCCCTGTTGTGGGAAACCCAACTTACCTCCATTGACAATTCATCTCCAGTTCCCTTACACTACAAAAATGTGTGCTATGCTGACTTTTTATTTGAATTGTTTCTAACATCTGCCATGTGCCAGGATCCTTCGTATCATATGGGTAACATAAAATCTTCAGTATATGCTCATTTTAAATCTTTATAAGCTTTACATTGTTACCTATTTTGAAATTTACCTTTTCACAACCCACATTTCACAGATTTAGGGGACAGTATAAAGCCATATTTCACATAACTTTCATATTTACTTATTCATTTGATGATTCAATAAATATAGTATTTTTAATCATCTACCTTTGATTTTGCTAGCATATTATTCTAATTGAAACTATATTAATATAAAAGAACAAAGTGTCTCCAAAGCTAATCTTAAGACTTTTAGATACTCTGTTTACAAATACATAATTTTATTAGCAATTATCATCATTTGTAATTATATCCTTAGATGATTATTAATTTCAGCTCTTCCTTTCCCTCTCTCTCTCCTCCTCTCCTACACTTTTCTAAAAGCCTGGTCTTACAATAATCAGAGAGTAGTCTAGTTACCCAAAATATTCTTATAAAACACTGGCAAATCTTGCTTAGATCACATACTTAAAACACGCATAGACACACAGTTTATATAATCTTCTCTAAGTATTCTTCTGTTGTCTCTTAGAGAAGAATTTAGGGAGTGAGAGATGGAACTGAACCATACCTGACACCCAGACAGGAGATTCTACCACGTAGTGACCACTCCATGGCTCCTGGGCTGTCATCAACCCGCATCTCCCATAAGGCAACTGTTCATAGTAACTAGCCACTAAATTCCATGCGATTGTGCTAAAAGATGTGTTTGATAAAAAAGAAACACCAAGACAACTTGTGATAAAAATATAAATGTCTAAAAACCTGGAGTAAAAAGACTTTATCACAGTAATACACATCTATGTAAATGACAATAAAAGGATCACCCAAAATAAGAAAATATAAGTTGTCTAAATTTATTCACATTTTGAAAAATCCAGTGTTGGGTACATTTTAATATTTTTAATGGTGAATCACATGACAAAAAATACAAATGTATTATGTGCAAGATTTTTACTGAAAAGTGATATAGCCAGAAGACAAATCATGCCTTACTAGTACCCGACACATCACAAATTTGAGTCAAATACAAATAAAGGCTTTGTGCATACCTACTTTCAACAGTCAGCCTTCTTAATGCCCCAGTTTCATGACATAATTTTTATGAACTTGACTCTGAACTGTTCCAAAGTTTTACAATTGAGAATTCTTAGAGTCAGACTGCCTGGGTTTAAACCATGGTTTCACCACTTAACCTCTCTGTAAAATGAGGATAATAATTACATCTCTCTCATGTGAGTTTGTAAGGATTAAATGTACTAATGCATAGGAAGAGTACGGAACAAGGTCTGGGCTGTAGTATTGCTATTAAATATGATTCCACTTCATCTACAAGTAGTAGTTGGATCTGACTGCTGATCTGCTTTGTGGCCCATTCTTTCTCAGATGATCAGGCCCTAACAGTCAGAGCAGGTGCTAACCCCTAAAACTTTGACTCTCTGGTTCTCAGGAAATCCAAGGGCAAAATGGAAGTTCTTGAACTTGGTATTGTTGAGTCTCTCACAGATTAAAAAAGCACAGAGCTTACCCACAGAATTTTATTTTTTTTATCAAGTCCTCATCCAGCATTAAAAAACACACTGACATTCTTAGCAAATCAAAGCCTTCTAATTCTATCAATACGAAGTAGAAATAATAGTCCTAATTTTCAAAACACCTTACTATTAGTGAATATTTTAAGTTCTTGTAATTTTGCCCATGGTTTGCAAGATGCGTGGTATCCCTTCTGGCTAGTGATAGATGTATCACTCAAGACAAGCTTTCTGGAGGGCATTTTGTAAAATACATACAAAACCCTTCAAAATCTATATATCTCTGACCATTCCATTTCTAAGAATACAGCCTAAGAAAATAGTCATGGGTATGTACAAAGATATTGGTATACAATTGATCATTTCAGTTTGTACAAAGCTATTAATTAAAACAGAGACAACTTCCAATTCTAAAAAGAGGAGAATATTCAATAAGGAATAATATATTTTCCACATCAGTGTTTCCCAACTTGTGTAGCATCAGAATCACTAGGGGGCACTGACTAGATGGACAGAACCCCAGGAGCCTTCCTTGTAGATTCTCATTCACAATGTCTGGGCAGCTGCCAAGGAGAAGGTATAACAACAAGTGTCTCGGGTGCTTCTTAAGGCAAGTTTGGGAAATGGTGGTTTATGTAAGAGAATATTTTAAAATGCATTTACAGCATTAAACATGATGAAGTAGAAATATAGGTAAACGTGAGAAAAAGTTCCTAATGTCATGTCAAGTGAAAAGCAGTTTTTTAAACAGATTCTATAGTATGGTCTCAATTTTGTATTAAAAATGTATACATGCCAATATAAAATAGGAAGACATTCACGAAAACTGTTAAGGATAGTTAGCACTGGATCATAAGACTGTAGGTGATTTTGCTTCTTTCTTTGTACCTATCTTCAGTTTTCTAAATTCTCTGCCATGAAGATGCCTTAACCTTAAGAACAAATTAAGTTATAACCAAACTTGCCTTAAGTATCTTTTCTTTCACAAAGAGAAGAAAAAGAACAAATACAATATATAGCAACCCACATTAATATCACAATAAATATATAAATATTGGTTTGCTTTTGTTCTATGTTTCAGAACAAAAAAGAACAAAATTTAAGAACAAAATGTGGTTCATTGTTTAGAAAGCTAATTGCAATCTATTCACAATTAAAGTGTTTTTCAAAGCATTTAAGAAATGGTTCCCTTAGGAACATAAAAAGTTGTGTTCTCCCTTAAGAACATCTGTTTTTAAACAACAGATTACACACATTAAGTGATGCCATGAGGAATCAATCAGACAGGCTGGGAAGCAGACAGTCCACAAGACAATCAGCCTGGTCTTTTCAACAGATCACTGTCATCAAAAATGAGGAATAAGGAAGCTACTCTAGATTAAAGGAGACTTGAGGGGCGTAACTTTTAAATGCAATATGTGCGTGTTTGACTATTCCTTTTCTTAAAAAAAGCTACAAATGACATTCTGGGGGAACAATTAGGAAAATCTGAATATAGACTGAGTATTAAAAACACTCTCATGTATGAAAAAATGATACTGTGATATGTAGAAGAATATCCTTGTGTTTTGGAGACACATGCTAAAACATTTAGAGATAAAGTGTCCTTACATATACTATTTACTATATAATTATTAAAAATATATGTAGCTTGTCAAAAATCAGAGAGCTGCATGTATTTTGCTACATATAAATTATACCTTAATAAACCAGACTTTATTTAATATAGACCATATTCAAATATAGAAAATTAGATGTAGATTAAGTATAGGTATAAAAATAGAAAATGCTAATAAGGCAAAATGTTTACAATCATTGAATCTAGGCTGGAAGAATAAGGAAGTCCACTTTTTTCTAACTCTCGTGTTTTAAAATTTTTTATAATAAAAACTCTAAAAGGTTTTTAATAACTTACGAAGTCATATAGCCATTGACATAATTCTGATTTAAAATGCGACCCCAGCAGCCTGCACCCGTGTCACTATTTAAAGTGCTAAAATCTTCAGAAGACCAAAGCTTCTTCCCAGTCAACCTTGCATCTTTTACTGAATGGGTTCCAGGATAATGAGCCCTAGGGAAAAAAAAGGGTGGGAGTCAATGACAAAAGGTCACAATGTGGCACTTATATACATATATATTTGTTGAGTGTATAAAAACACAAGTCTTCTCCAAGGTTTTCTATTTTAAAATAGTTGGGTAGCTTCCAGGTAGATAATGAATGTAAGCATCTGCTTTACGCCCTTCTGTCTCAGCATGCCATTAAAATGACAGCAAATAAAACAAAAGGGGATAAACCTACAACAGCATACCGGATAGGAAGGAAAATCATCAACAGATAGGAAATTTCAGTCTATTTCTGGAACTCACAAAATGGATGGAAGCATGTTGAAGGATGGAGGTAGCAGAGAGGGCCACAGCCTAGAACACCCCAAGAGGAGAATGAAGTAACGATAAGATTCAGACTTCCCAGGGGAAGCTAAGGAGCTTGGGGCAATAGTAAATGAGTGAGGAGGAGGCCAAAAATAAGATTAGTGAAACCTTCATATAAAGCAGTGCTCTCCCCTCGACTCCTGTCCTTAGAACACAGAAAGATAGCTTGGCATTTACTCCCAGGCCAAAAACAAAACAAAACAAAACAAAAAACAATACCCACTAATGGTTATTTCTTGAATAAAAAGAATAAACTACCTTGGGAAAACTAGAAATTACTGTATCAGAGCAGAGGTGGTTCTCAACCCAGGTGATTTTTGTCCCTGGAGGGAATATTTGGCACTATAGGGAGATATTTTTTCAACTGTCTCACCTGGGGTTGAGGATATTTGCTACTGGCATCTAGTGAAGAGAGGCCAAAAATGCTGCTAAACATCCTACAATGCATAGGACCAACCCCTACAACAAAAAAATTGGCCATTAAAAATATCAATAGTGCAGCAGGTGAGAAACTGCCCCAGAAAATGAATGCCTCCTTCATCCTATCATTCGATGGGAGGGGAGTCAGTCAGTGGAAGTATAAATACATATTCATTACTGCAAGAGTAAAATACTCCCATAATGATGACTGTGGAAGTACTGATTATAAGAATAAAGACAATAAATTTTAAATAGAAAATAGATTGACAATCCAATAAGAGAGCACACTAGCTAAATAACTGTAGGAATAAGGGCATCTACTTTTTAGTTTAGCAATTATTTACAAAAAAATAATACAAGCAAAATAATGGAGATTAAGTTATACCATAATTCTAATCTTTGTAGTTTGGTATAGTAGTATTTATAACATCAAAAAAATGATTGTGAATACTTGTGTTATTTTTTAGTTATTTAATTCCATAACTTTAGGTCACAAATCTTTTAGGAAAAAAATCCTATTTGGTAATTCTTTATACCTAGTGAAGATGAATTAGGGCACAATATCAATTTGGCATTCCAGGATTTCATGAGTAAGAAAATAATATACAATATATACTGGAGAACATAAAAAGAAGTATTAGAGAAAAACGAGGTTCCACTAAGATTTTACTGAGTCACTAAACTCAGGTGAAAGCAGGCATCTATTCACTATTGCAAATCTACACTACAAAGAAATCTAGCATCTAACAGGGTTAAGCAATCATCGTTGTGGCACTATAACACCCAACCTGAAAAATCTGGCTACTAGTCTTTTAACTAATATAAATTCAAAAAACTACATTTTTAGATTTACTCTTCTATCCCACAACTTCATTCCGTTTCCATGAAATTCAGCTTTGTTACCTCAGCCAAATGTTAATTTTTAATACCCCATCTATTTGTCATCCAGTTGTCTAGTTGCCAAATGCATGTTTGGTGTATTTGGTTAAAATATATTTCTATATTAAAGAAAACCCTGGAAAGTAATATGATAGCATGTTACCAATAAGCAGTAGATGTTAGGATTATGAGTATATTCTATCTTTATACTTTTCTACATTTTCCAAAGTCTCTATAATGAGCATATTACATTTACAAAATGAAAAAGTAACTTTACTGAAGTTATAGGAATAGGGGGTATATCCTTCATTCAGAAAATGAAACTGTTACTACATTCAAAACCCAAATGATTTATTACATGATCTGAGCAAAGAAAGGCAGAACTAATACTAAAATCTGGGTCTTTCTCTATGTATATATTTATTCCTAGTGCAACAAAATGTAAAGGCTCTTTAAGAATATAAATTTTTAATGTACATAAGCAGGCAAACATTCTCTATCATTTCATAGCATTATTTTTCAAACTTCAATTATAGACAAAATTAAGATAATTGAAAGTAAACCAACTTCATAGTTTATCCTAACAGAGGAACATATTTGTACTTTAAAAAATTAGAATTTTTGGCCAATGCAGAACATGACAGCAGCCCAGTTTCTGAAGCTCCTCAGTACTCCTCCTGAAGCCAAACAGACCAACCAGATAAGGGAAAGGAAAAACAGGTAACACTGCCATCAAACCAGGTGACAGAGACTGTCCCCAGGAGCCTCACAGCATCAGAAATGGCCCAGGATCAGCAGATGGTATATGGAAACTGGAAGTGAAAGGGGACTGGCTGGTACTCACACAAAAGGAGTAGACCCTATCCTAAGTGGGAGAATAGAAGACCGACTCAGGAAGATGAGAACATCTTCACAGGCTTGAAGTTAGGGGAGAATGCTCAAAACCGTGAATTCACTAGGAGATCAAACCCAATACCGTAAGAGTTCAAACTAGATTTGTCCAGTAGAAATATAATATGAACCACACATACATTATAATTTTAAATTGTCTAGCAGCCACATTAAAAACCAGCAAAGGTCTTTACCACAATAAAACACATAAATGAAAAAAATTTAATTTAATTTACAAAGCAGAAAAACATGGAGAACATAATTTTAATGATATATTTCACCCAATATACCCAAAATACTATCATGTAACATGTAATCAGTGTAAAACAATTGTAAATAATATTTTTATATTCAATTTTCAAAACCCAGTGTGTATTTTATACTTATAACACACCTAAACTCAAACTAGCCACATTTCAAGTGCTTCCTAAACATATGTGTCTAGTGGCTACTGTATTGAACAACACAGGTTTAAGCAATAACAATTTCAGGAGAAGGTAGCAAATAATCAGGAATGACAGAGCTTCAACATGAAAATAAGCTGTTTGAAGTAGAATCCAAGTTGAATAAGGCAGGAACACTTCGTGTAAAGGAGAACAACTTTCAGTCAGTAAGAATGGGGCCCAGCAGAAATAGACTCTAGAAAGTACTGTAACTGTAAAACAAAAATCTTCAGATATAGCACAGGCCAAGCACAACATGAATGAGGCAGGAAGGAATAGTCTTCCTGTGAAGATGTGAGCCAAGAAATATCTCCTGAACAAAATTCCAACAGCCAAAAATTGGAAACAGTCTAAATGACCATTAAAAAATAATACACAGATAAGTTGTGGTATACTACACTTAGCATCCAACAGTTGGATGCTAAACAATAAATATGAACTACCTCTATATATAACAACATGCATTCATCTCAGTTATATAATATTGACTGAAATAACAGCTACTATAAGATGCCATTTAAATAAAGTTTTTAAACCAGCAAAATTAGTCCATGGTGTTAGAGGTCAGATTAGTAGTTATCTTTAAGGCAAAAACAGAGGTTAATGATTAGAAAGATTTCCAAGGAAAAATCTTTCCAAGAGGAGATATCAATAACCAAGCTTCTTGGGCACTGATAATTTTCTGGGTAGTGGTTACATAGGTACGTTCGCTTTGTGACAATTCATTAAGCTATAATCCGATGATTTTTGTACTTTTATATATGTATGTTTGTATGCTATACTTCAATTAAAAATTTTTTAAAGATGAATTGTTAGTGATATAGGAAATTAAAATGAGAGAATTATAGAAGAATTATTTTAAAAATCACATTTTAGAAATGAAGGCTAAACTAGAAGGAACATTAGACAGAACAGACACTGTGGAAAACACAGTAAGGAATATAGAATAGTAAGGATAAAATAATAGAAAACGTAAATAAAGAGGTAGAGAAAAATTCAGAGAAATACAAAATAAAGGCTATGCAAATAAGAGCAAGATGTATAACTGGGACATCAAAAAAGAAAACTAAAGTAATGGAGTGGAATAATGATTTAGCTTATAACTTAAGTAAACCTTACTAAGAAAATACTTAAATATAGACATTAAGAGATGCATATACTATATATCTGGAAATGGTAAAGTGTATACAACAACTAAACTTTAAAGATGAATAAAAATATTCTTTGGGCATAAAGGAATTGTGTCAAGTTACTTATAAGGAAAAGGAAGTATCTCTGGAGTCGAAATTCTCAATAGCAACATTTTATGTAAATAACCAATGGAGCAAATTTTATGATACTCAAGGATTAAAAAAGGATTATATCCAGTCAAACTGTCCTTCAGGTATAAAGGTCATAGATAAACATCAATAAACATCTAAACACATCAAGAAATACTGTTTCCATTAGCACTTTCTGAGACATTTAATAGATAATTACACTTCTGACATCCAAGAAACTGAGGGAGAAACTTCGGCAAAAGACTTGAAGGTGAGCATTTAATATGTTTAATGGTAGAGCCAGATTAAAAGAAATAGTAATTAAATTATATATAAATATTACACACTTGGCTAAAGTACAACTAATATAGCTACATGAAATAGGACAAGAGGTAAAGAAGGTGAAATGTAAACTAAGTTTGCAGATTATCTGGGAGTAAACAGTTAAAACTTGTAGCTGTCAAATCAATATAGTAGAAGCTTAAGTTCATGTAAGTTCATTTAAGAGTACAAAAATTAAAACTAAGATAATTCTAGTAATTAAAATTCCATGGTAGGGGAGAAAAGGGGAGGAAGAAGTTATCAAATAATTGTAGTATTGCTTATAGTAAACCAATGGACAATAACTAAATGAAGAGAAAACCAAGAGTATTAGTATGAAGCAGTTCCTCAACCTCAGCACTATTAATACTTTGGGCTGGATCATTTTGTGTTATGGGAAAACTATCCAGTGTACTAAAGGATATTTAGAAACATCCGTGGCCTCCATCCATCAGATTCCAGTGGCACCACCCTACCTATTTGTGGCAATTAAAAATATTTCCAGGCATTGCCAAATGTCCCCCGGTAGGCAAAATTATTCTCAGTTGAAAATACTTGTATAAACCAGTATAAATATAATTGATAGAACGAAAAACAAAACTTGCTAAATAACAAAAGAAACACCTCCTTAAATAAGCGCAAAGTAAACAAATCATATAGCAGAATAGCTTGTATTAGTACATGGATAGTATAAATTATTCAATAACAAGAGACAATGTAATAGCATTGAAAACACAAACATCAGCTATATTTAAAAATGAGTTTAACTCATTGATTAAAATATAAAGATTTTCAGAGGAGCTTTAAAAAAGCAAAATCTAACTCTATGCTATTTGCAAGCAATGCACATAAAAGAAAATGGCCTTGAAAGGTAAAGAATAAAAGGGCAAAAATATATTAGGCAAATCCTAATGAAAAGAAAGCAGGGATCTCTTAATCACACAGAAAGCAGAATTCAGGCCAAGAAGCTTTAAATGAGACAAAGAATGGCATTTTCTAATGATAAGAAATAAAGCATAATGAAGATAAAACATTCATCAGTATTTATGTACCAAAAAACAAAGCAGAAGCTTCCACACAGCAAAAACTGCCTGAGATTGAAAGGAGAAACAGACCTAACACAAGGAAACAAACACACCTGGTAGCCCTGAACAGTTCAAGTGGACGAAATAGTTAAGATCCAAACACCTGAACAATATAATCAAAAAGGTAGATGTTATAAACTCAATTCTGTATCCTAATAAAGAATACATCTTAATAAGTCAAAATATGCTCTTGAGATAGTCAAGAAAAATGCGAAGGTTTTTTTCAGATTTTTAAAAATAAGCTCCTGAGAAATTTCCCCCAAAATTGTAAATAATACATTTGGTATTAAATGGCCACAATGCAATAAAATTAGAAATTAATGATAAAACAGCCCTACGAGATAAAACTAAGGCAGTACTCAGAGGAAAATTCATTACATTAAAATACCTATATCAATAAAAAATGAAGTACATATCCAAGTCCTTCATGAAGATACAGTAAAACCCATACTTTCATTTAATATTAAGAAAATACATTTAGATGAACACAACTTTGTTTTCCTTCAAGACTTCAACTATTTATGAAACCTTTAACAACAGCAAAACTTTAATTTTAATTTCAATGTATAAAATGTTTAAATATAATGAAGAAATTTTATCTTGCAAAAAAAAATTAAGCCTAAATCTAACCTAATCACACCTTCACCAATTTCAAAAACCATTGAAAAAGGAGAGATGAGCAAGCTATTAAACTGTAGGGGTGAAATCAGTAAAATCCAGACTGACACAAAGTTTATAAGACAAACAGCCCTATTCTTCAACATATTAAAAAGAAAGAAGAGCAAGAACCTAAAGATTAGAACAGATTTAAATATCAACCAATCACAAGGTATGAATTTTAAATGGATCCAGATTCAATCAAATAGAACTATAAAATAATAATAATGGATATTTAATATAAAAAACTATTACATTTTAGGTATAATAATGGTATTATTTATGGTAAGTAGAAAAATAATCCTTATCTTTGGAGAGACACAGTAATATTTTTATGGAAGAAATAATGTCTGGGATTTCTTTCAAAGTAATGTAGGCAGGAAGGGAAGAGGAGTAGATAGATGCATGGATGAAGAATTGGCCATGGGTTCACAGTTCAGGAGGCTGAGTGGTAAGAACAAAGATATTCACTGTATCATTCTGCCTATTTTTGTGGACATTCAAAATTCTTCATTAAAAAAATAAAGCACATGGACAGATCAATCAGTGTTCACACTGGATAAAGAACAAATTCTACACACATACATATACACACACACACACACACACACATTCTATTTTTCAAATGTTTATATCCTGTGGCACAGTAGGAAAAACGTAAATTCACTTTTTAAAAAAAATGAACTCAATGAGGTCAGGGCCCAGAGGGCTAAAAGGCAGAAATGGAATAAGGAGTAGGGGTCAAAACTATACTACTAAAGAGGTATGACAAAAGTTATCGTCAGTGACCATAATGAACCACTTACAAAAGTGTTCATGCAAGAACTTCCAGCCACAGAATATCTGAGAGTTAGAAACTAATTTCACGACTTTGCCTTTATAATTTCTAAAATTAAATACAGGTATTACTCCGCCCCTTAATCTAAAACAAAGCTCTGTTTTATGATCCCAAACATCAGTATGTTTTTTAAAAGTTATCAATACATGTTTGTCACAGAAAGATCCTAAAATACATTTAAAAGAGAAAGTAATGAACCATGAGCCATGCACGCTTCAGATAAGTAAATACAGGACAGCTACCTTCTGAGAATGTAATGAAAAGGGGAGAAGGCAAGAAACAGTTAATACACAGAGCAAGCAATCAGAAACCGTTAGTTTTCCAAGTAAAACATGCCTTACCCTATAACATCAACCACCTTGAAGAGTTCGGCATCAAGTAGCATGGCTGCAGAGATGGACTCCCAGAGATTATCACTTGCTATGATTTTCACTCGCTGGAGACCTTGAGAGTTCAGCATTTTTCTTAATATCTTTTGGAGTAATAAACAGAAAATACGAAAGGATACAAATGAATTTTTAGCTGTTGAATTTATGATCAAGATAGATAAACTATCTTTACAAATCAGCATTCTGGAATAATAGCTTTTTTGTTGTTGTTTTTGTTTTTCTCAGACAGAGGCTCACTCTGTCGCCTAGGCTGGAGTGGCAGGATCTCAGCTCACTGCAACCTCTGTCTCTCAGGCTCCAATGATTCTCCTGCCTCAGCCTCCTGAGTAGCAGGGATTACAGGCACACGCCACCACACCCAGCTAATTTTGGTATTTTTTAGCAGAGACGGAGTTTCACTATGTTGGCCAGGTTGCTCTTGAACTCCTGACCTCATGGATGATCATTTCAATACTACATTTTCTCAATAGAAACATGCCTCCTACGGAAAATAAAAGCATTATCATTAAGATAACCTACTTCACTAGGAATGTAAAAAGAAAAAAAACACAAGGGGTAAAACGTTTTAGAGGATTCTCACTTTAACTTTAAAATTACATTTAACCATAGAAATATGCGGGGGAAAAGAAACAAAAATAATCAAGTAGTACTACCCTGAAATAACCACTATTATTTTGCTATGCATTCTTCCAGGAAATTTCCTATGCAGACACAATAATAAAATGGGTAACATATTAATCATACCATTCGGCAAAATGCTTTAACTTATCATTTTAAGTATTTTCCAACGTCTTCAAATATTCTGCATTATTAAACAGCAGAGAACATAAAATTTACCTGTAGGACTGTCCAGCCACAAAATTAAAAGTAACAAGATAAATTCTAATGGGAAATAAATCAAACAAACAGCACCTATTTTAGTACTCAATACTTGGACCCCATGAAGACTCTAAAAGAAGGATGAGATGGAGTTCTCACCCTTAGGTGGCAAACACACTCAACAGGACACCAACACTAACAGGACATACTAGAAAATCAAAGGGAAAGTAACATACCAAAACGTATGGATTGCCTACATGTAAATCAAGAGCAGAGAAAAGGAGACATCATTTTACTCAGGATCAGGAAGATCAGATTTCATACCATAAAGCAGTTCTTGATGAATGGATACAAATAAACCCACCACTATACCCCCAAGGACTCGGAAATCTCTGGCACATAGCAGCAGATGCCCAATACTACTGGCTGAAGAAATTAAGAAAGAACAAAGAATTTCACAAGCTCTCTCTTCACATTCCAACTTCTCTGAACTAGGGGAATTTCCAATTAATGTGCTCTTTTAGGACGCAAATAATAAAAGCTCCAATTAAATCCATGGTCTACTTTTCAACAGATGGTTTCTTAAAACAGATATATTACAGGATTTTAGAAAACGTGGTGAAAATTAGAGGTGGCAATCTAATTTCATCTTTCAAACCAGATCAGCTGAGTCCTAGGACACCCTAGAAGCAGCATGAACAGATCCTTCATAGCAAACCAAGACCAACTCTCAAGATTCAGTAGGACTGAGAATCCCTATCCCTCTAGCAGGAGATCAATCCTGAATTTCATCACCCTGAAGTTCTTCCTTTTCTTTGAGATGGCGTTTCGCTCTTGTTGCCCAGGCTGGAGTATGATGGCGCGATCCTGGCTCACTGCAACCTCTGCCTCCCAGGTTCAGCAATTCTCCTGCGCCTCAGCCTCTTGAGTAGCTGGAATCCCAGCCAGGCACCGTGCCTGGATAATTTTGTATTTTTAGTAGAGATGGAGTTTCTCCATGTTGGTCAGGCTGGTCTCGAACTCCCGACCCCAGGTGATCCGCCCGCCTTGGCCCCCTAAAGTGCTGGCATTACAGGCGTGAGCCACTAAGCCCGGCCTCTTTCTTCTTACAGTGAAGAGGAAGAGCAACTTAGTCAAATTTGCATTTTTCACTATGGATGGATCTAGTCTTTCTAGTCCTAGTCCTAGAAAATCCCAGTAAGACTGCTTACTTTTTTATACAGTGTATTTGAATAACATTCTAAAATTTGCAAGTCTCATGCTATGATTTCTAAATAAGTTTCCATCCCAAAGTCATTATGAATAGCAGCAGTCTTTTGAGCAGTTTTATCTAACATATTTTCAGATTATGTTTTTGTTTTGGAACTTTCTCCTCCAGAAAAAGCTTAAATAGAAGCTCTATAAGATAAATGGAAAGGAACTTGTTCTGGTTGAACTGAATGAAGGTCCAAAGACCCATACTTCCATTTCCATCCACTATCCTCAGATCCTAGATGAGATTTTCCAGACACAACTTAGAAAACTTAAGAACACCACTGAAAACCACGATAAATCATAAATATCAGTAGCAAAAAAAAAAAACCAAAAAACAAAAAACTGTAAAGAAACAATACCCTTGTCATCTTTATATAAATTCCTCCTTTGTATTATATTTATTTCTGCTATTAAAAATAAATGGGTGGAGCTTGCAGTGAGCCCAGATCACGCCACCGCACTCCAGTCTGGGTGACTGAGCAAGCCTCCATCTCAAAAAAAAAAAAAAAAAAAAACAAATCTTTCTTCTTTCCAGGGGTCATCTTATTATCCCAAAAAGAATGTATATTCATTAAAATTATCCAATCTGAGCACCTACATTCATCTGTCATTATTGAACTCTTTGTGATAGGCATTTCTTTTTTTTTTAGACAGCGTCTCACTCTTTTTGCCCTGGCTGGAGTGCAATGGCGCGACCTCGGCTCACTGAAACCTCTGCCTCCCAGCTTCAAGCGATTTTTCTGCCTCAGCCTCCCAAGTAGCTGGGATTACAAGCATCTGCCACGACGCCCGGCTAATGTTTTTGAATTTTTAGTGGAGACAGGGTTTCACCACTATGTTGGTCAGGCTGGTCTCAAACTCCTGACCTCAGGTGATCCAGCCGCTTCAGCCTCCCAAAGTGCTGGGATTACAGGCGTGAGCCACTGTACCTGGCCTGCGATGGGCATTTCAACAAACGGAACACAGATCCCAATAAAATCTTGCTGGAAAAAAATGGCAAACACAAAGTAAAAAGTTTTTGTATCCTGAGAGATTTTACTGCAGGAAAACTAAAGGTTCAGAGAAAAGGAAATGAAGTCTGAACTGTCTGAAACATTGAAAATGTGTCTTAGAGCAACAATTAGTTTTTCAAACCAGGTTAGTTGAATTAGAATGCACTGGAGTCAGCAACAGATTCTTAATAGTAAAAAAGTTAAAATAAAATAAAATATAGCCCTGGCTTATTTCACTAGTTTAAAAGAAAATGGAAACTAATACTTTTAATGCTTCCTTCAAATGAACACAAGAGAGACACATGTATAATCACAAGAAAATAAAACATAAGCTTTGAAATGTCAAATTTGGGTATTTAAAAAGTTCATCACCTTTCACTATGAAGATACTGTAGCAATGCCATCCACCTGATTACAGAGTTATCCACTACACATGCACCAACCTGGCTTCTGCTCTGTCCACTTACTGCTCTCATCAGACCTGTGCTCATAGCAGACATGACTTTCCACTTACAATTCCTGTGCTCCAATCCTATTAATAGCTCCACTGCCCCACCTCCCCAACCCCTTCTGCTCCCACCAGCACACTCTCACCAGCATACTTCAGCCTGGAATTGACCTTGAGTTACCTAGTTCTGGCTGCAATAGATCTTCTCAATCTATGCCTTCTCCATCCCTACAACTACAGATTAATTAAAATATGCCATTACTGGCTGGGTGCGGTGGCTCATGCCTGTAATCCCACCGCTTTGGGAGGCTGAGGCAGGTGGATCACAAGGTCAGGAATTCAAGACCAGCCTGGCCAAGATGGTGGATTCCCATCTCTACTAAAAATACAAAAAAAAATTAGCCGGGCGTGGTGCCAGGTGCCTGTAATCCCAGCTACTCAGCAGGCTGAGGCAGAGAATTGCTTGAACCCAGGATGCAGAAGTTGCAGTGAGCCAAGATGGCGCCACTGCACTCCAGCCTGGGTGACAGAGCGAGACTCCGTCTCAAAAAAAAAAGCCATTATTCCAGTGAATACTTCAGCTTACTGATGGAGGGCAGTGCCCCCACTCTTCCTCCGTTGTTTAAACCATCTTTCATGACTTGTTTTTCTCCCATATCCCTTTACCTCTCAATCTTCAGTTCTTTGCACATGCTATGCCCCTCCTTAGCAACGTGGAGAGTTCCCAACCATCCCTTCTTGAACATTCAAATTACACATCACCTCCTCTAAAAGACTTCCCAATCAACCCAGGTAGAGTTGTCATCTCCTCTGTGTCTTCTAAGACCTGTAGGTGTATATCTGACTCTATACCACCCTCCCCAATACAAAAAATCCTTTTGGGCAGAAAACCACATTCTCTATCCTTATATTACAACCGTATGCACAATGCCTGACAAACTAGTGTTGAGCAAATAAATGCTCTATGATTAACTGAACGAAGATATGAGAGGAATGTATTGAACCTTATCTACTTAAGAACATAAAACACCCAATTTAAAGAAATTTTTTCCTATAAACACGCATGTGCAAGTATCTTTTTTGTATAATGACTTCTTTTCCTCTGGGTAGATACCCAGTAGCAGGATTGATAGATTTGTGAAAATTTGGAACTAGCCCCAAATGCCCATCAATCAATGAGTAGATAAAGAAACTGCAGTATATGTATACAATGGAATACTACTGGGTCACAAAAAGCAATGCATTAATGGCATCTGCAGCAAGATGGATGGGATTGGAGACTATTATTCTAAGAGAAGCAACTCAGGAATGGAAAACCAAACATCGTATGTTCTCACTCATAAGTGAGAGCTAAGTTATGAGGATGCAAAGGCATAAGAATGATAAAATGAACTTTAAGGACTCAGGGGTAAAGGATGGGAAGGAGATGAGGGATAAAAGACTACAAATTTGGTTCAGTGTATACTGCTCCAGGGATGGGTGCACCAAAATCTCAAAAATAACCACTAAGGAACTTACTCATGTAACCAAATACCACCTATTCTCCAAAGACCTATGGAAATAAAAACAAAATTGTTTTAATATAAAAAATTTTAAAAACCTGAAATTAAATATTGCCCAAAAATTATATTTCTTGGAGAAAAGATATATATAACAAGACAAAAGGAAGTGAAAAGTAAACCAGAGAATAGCTCCACCTGAAAAGTAAAACTGCCATTTTTTTCCAATGGCAGAAGTTATTATGCTGTTTTTCCTTTCCTGGAAAGTAACAATTATAGTAGTTACCTCATAGGTAAGGATGTGAGAATTAAATGGAGATAAATAGTTAGGAAGAGTTCCCCAAAAATAACACAATTGGCAGATGTTATTGCCACCTCTTTGCTAATCACAAAAAGAAACATGTACTATACCACACTCCAATAGAAAACAAGAATTAGAATATATGCCATAAATTTTGATAAAAGACAAAGAAAAAACAGGTACATTTCTTGAAGTCCTAAAAGTCTAAAATGATATAATTGTTTCACAAAATTTATCAGAATTCCAAAACTAATGAGTTTTAAAACAAAAAAATTCAACACAATTCTTTAGACAAAGGTAATTAAGGACTCACAAAGAATTACACATGCTTTAATATCAGGAATATAAACATTGTTAAGATTTTGCTTGAATTTTATGTCACAACCAGCAAAATAAATAACTGTAGTATAAAAAATATGGTGTTTCCAACACAAATTTCCTACTAATTTCTGTGTTTGGAACTACAAGGAATTATTCACTAAAAAGTTAGAGACAGAAAGATACTAAAGTTGTACACACCTTAATATAATTGGCATTATATGACCTCTCATTCCAAATCTGCAAAACAAAAAGTCAAAAAAGTATGAATTGAAAGTTATGAAATGTCAGAAAGCAGATTATCATTAAGATACCATTTCTCTCATCATCTTTCATATTATCTGATAAGCCATTTTTTTAACTTTATGGGATATCCTGCCATAGAATTTACAGATACTTGTAAGATAGCATAACTTTTTTAAAATTAAAATATTATTTTTAAGAACCTTAAAATATTTCGTGGGTATTTTTCAAAAAGTAATTTATTCCAAAGATTTTCAACAATGGAATATTCATTAATTCATTTAACACATGTTGACAGTGCAATGTGTGCCAGAGACTATACTAGGCATTGGAGAACTAATAGATAAGGAGACTGTTACAACAATTATGACAAGATCCCTATAGGCACACCTGAAAGCCAAGTATTAATATGTATACTGTATAGAAGGCATATTTTTAAGCATACACAGAGAATCACAGTAATACACTAGTCACAAAAGCAAACTCTGAATGAGGATGGATAAAAGGAACATATATACATCTATTAGGTTTAGAGTCATGAAGCCTGGGGTTTTAGAATTGAAAGAACTTCTGTAACTCCACAGTTGAGAAAACTGTTAATAACAAGAGATGATTCTAGAATCCAGGTGCAGGTCTTTTTACTCCAACAATACAGGAAAGAGTTTATCAATGAAGCTCCTCACCATAGCATGTGTTATCATGAGTCTAAACAAGATGTGAATCACCCATTACTTGTGATTGTACCATAAGAGAAAGCTATTAGACCAAACCTACATTTAGTCTCACTATGGGTTATAAATGTCCTGACATTTAAGAAAGTTCTCTGGCCAGGTGTGGCTGCTCATTCCTGTAATCCCAGCACTTTGGGAGGCTGAGGTGGGCGGATCACGAGGTCAGGAGTTTGAGACCAGCCTGGCCAACACAGTGAAACCCCGTCTCTAATAAAAAGAAAAGAAAAATAGCTCGGCATGGTGGCAGGTGCCTTAATCCCAGCTACTTGAGGCAGGAGAATCACTTGAACCCAGGAGGCAGAGGTTGCAGCCAGCCGAGATCACAACACTGCACTCCAGTCCGGGCGACATTGCCAAAAAACAAAAAAAAGAGGAAAGTTCTCAAATATAAACTAATTTTCAGTCATAATTTGGAAAAGGATAGCAAAAACTAATATATTCTTTCTTCTGACTTCCTCCAGCCCTTGGCTCATCCTCATGCCCTTGGCTCATCCTCATGCCCTGTATCACCATGTAGTATCGCAGTTAATATGTTCCAGTGTCTACTTCTCTTACTGAATACAAGAGCTTATTAATCTTAGTAGCCCTAAAATAGGGCTCAATAATTGTTTGCTGATAACCTAAGTCATGGTTGCATGAAAATGTTTAAGTATTGGTTTTAACTGATGGTATATTAATAAGCAACTGATTATGGAGACCCAGTATGTGTATCTTAAGGCTCTGTGGGGTATGATGCAGCCTAAGGCATGCCTCCACCCAGCCTACAGACAAGCTGGACATGATATCATTTTCCATACTTTTTAAATCCTTAAAAGGTGTTAAGGTGTTAAGTAACAGTTTGTGACAGGTGGACACAGATTTCAGCCAGCCTGCCAAATCTGGCCCATCATCTGTAATTTTACAACTTGAGAGCTAAAAGTGCTTTTAGTTTTAAATAGTTACATTTGAAATGGCTATATATTTACCTCAAGATCCTCAATATTGCCTTTTGGCCCACAAACCCAAAACTATCTATGCTCTGGCCCTTTAATAAAAAGTTTGCCAATCTTTGGCTTAAGACAACAATAGAATAAAATAAGACTAACCCATAAGCTGTCTAGGAAACACAACATTGTTGTAGGAACCAGAGAAAGTAGGGAAAGCTTTGAAGGAGAATTTGAGTTGGGTTGATACAAAAAAAAAAACCAGCTCAGAGGAAAAAGGTATACACTTAGCACAGTTTTCAAAAGCGGTGACATTGGGATGGGCAAAGGGGAGCAATTAAAGGTCACATGTACTTAGCTTGTGTTATTATCAGATACCAGTAGAACAAATTAGTCTCATGACATAAAATGGTTAGTCAAAAAGTACCTTAGAACCAAATTATATTTTAAATTACAAATAAATGTCCAAAACTGAATCATATTTTAAATGTATTACTAACTCCAATATAATCAATGTCCAAATCATGATAACGCTTGGCACCCACAATCCAGGTCACGACATAATAGGCAGTCAGCTGAAGATTGACATAAGGCCAGTCAAAACCTTTTCCCAGCCATCCAGGGAATGACCATGGCAACCCTGCAGAGAGAAGGGAGGAGGCAAAGGTAGAGGAGGTATAACAGTGCTGGCGCTATTGAAAATAAAACAAATTTTTTTTAAGAAAAGCATTCAACTTGCAAAACACCAACACAGATCTGACTAAAGGAAAGTTTATATACCATATAAAAATTATTGAAATCCTTTCCAATCTATAGACACTATAATTCCTTATTGATCCCTAGAGTCAGGTCCCATAATTTCAAATGTTCTTTCCAGGCAAAAGAAAAATAACAAATACAAACACCTCTATCCAAGACCCTTACCAATAGAAATAAATGTACCATATGTTTTAACTTAACATTTCCACTCACTGTTGGAATGTTCAATATTCAACTTCTGTTCTTTGAGGTCAAACCAAAGAATTCTAAAAGGCTTATTCCAAACTACTCACTCCTTTGAGTTATGTATAACACAAATTTATCATTCACTTGTACATCTTCTTATAATTTAAGGGTCCTTAAAATATTAATCAGTCAGGCAATGTAATGTAGCAAAACTAGTTTGTTCTTATATCAATATAAATGACAATGAATCCATAGAGAAATATACCCTTGTTAAGTGATACACATCAAATAAGTCCATATTCTTCCAATAACCCTGATTATGTTTAAGTAAAAAAGTGAGAAGAGTAGAAAAGTACATATTATAATTCTAAATTTAAATTGCTACTAATTTTAAATAAGCTCAACAGTTAAGTTCCTCAGCAATAAATATATTACCAAACTAGTTCACCACTGAAAAAAATAAAAATAAAAATGACAAAATGTTTATTTTCTAAACTCAGGAGGAGCACCCAAGTGTATTACATGAGAAATGTGACATTAAAGTAATAGAATTCTTGAAAACAATGAAATGCTAAATGCAACCTGAAGGCCTACCATGTGTAAGTCTTTGTTAGGACATAGTTTTCCCTGCCATATTTTCTACATTTAAATGAGGTCTGACCTTGGAAGCAGTCTAGCGGATATTTGCTAAATTCAGTGATGCTTTTACTGCAAACAGCATTTCTGGAATCTTACAAAAGCCCATTTATAAAGAACATACTTACTCCTAATTTCTTTTAACATAGAAAATATTACTCTTATCCTTTAATTTGATTGCTGAGAAAATTATTTTTTAAATAACTAGAAATCAGGCCTTTAGAAGGAATCATTAATTTCATTTAACTTAGTTTGAATTTAAGCCTGTTTCAAAAAATCAAATTCATTTCAAGTGATGAAAGTATCCCATCACTCTGATGTTTGAAATACTTCTGTACGCATTCTCACAGAACTGTGAAATATACATAGTCCCATTGAAGCAACTAGCCAATGATCCTTCCAATAGAACCTAAGCTCCACAGGTGCAGGGATTGGGGATGTGATTGGCTTCCTGAGTCCCTAGAACAGTAACCAGCACATTATTGAAGTTCAAAAACTAACAAACAAACAAAAAACACTTTTGTATGTACCTTTTCTAAAAATGGGTTTACTGCTACATGTAACATACAATTGTGTAACTAGTTAGGTGTACTACTGCATAGTATTACCCTTTTACGAATACTGATGACAGATTTGTGAATAGTATTACCCTTTTACGAATACTGATGACAGATTTTGTGAAGAAAAGTAGTTTAGCATCATAGAAACATGGAATTATGTGCTAAAACCGATTTTGCCATTTACTAACTGTCTATGACCTTAGGTCAGTGGCATAATCTTTCTAAGCCTCTACTGCTTTTTCCTGCCAAATGGAAAGAATCACGCCTTACTTCACAGGTATTATAAGGATTCAACATAACATATAAGGGCAAAGAAAGGATCACCCCTGACACATGCTTTGCTGCTGGTAGCATACTGGTAGTATTAACGACATTATGAGCACTTCCATACTAATAGAGATTCCACCAACATGATCCAGAATTTAAAAGTTAAAGGAAAAGAGACTGAAGAAGCATTGCAAACTTCATTTCTTACCGATGAGTGTAATATTGGGATTCCTCTTCTTAGCTTCCTTCATTAACCACCACTCATATCCTCGAAAATAATTCTCATCTAGTGCATAGTGCATGTGGGAGGGCTCAGTGCCATCTGAATAGAGGAGAGCAAAAACGAAGTAATGATCCATGAATGGTACTCCCTAGGACCATCTCACTCCCCACCCCTACCCGCGACACCCACTTCACAAAAGCAGTATTCCAGTTCTAATCCTGAAGTTGGGCAAATCGTAATCTTATACAACTTAAGGATGGATGAGAAAAGCACATTATTTCATCCTTTTTTCATTATCTTAAGCATTGTAAAAGTCTTAATAAAACCACAACCTTCTATTATAAGCAGTACTGAGAGAAATATTATCACCTCAAATAACTAAAAATTCCCAGTATTCATTCTTCTGGGCTTTTGATCTCTCTGTGGTTTTCAAATCCCCATGTCCAACTTTAAGTTCTCATTACCTCAACTTTCAGTTTATCAATGCTGGATATGAATCCCTGGGCTCCTGAGCCCTGTTTTCAGAACCCACACCTTTAGCCTATAATATGTCTTGATATAGGAAGAGTTTTGAGGGGAAAAAAAAATAGGAATAAGTATACATATCCACTCTAAGAATAACAAAATTCTATACTAACATCTGCAGTTACTAGAGGTTACATTATCTTAGCACTGAGGTAGGTAACTACTATTAAAGTCCTCATATATTCCCACAGTTCACAAATATCTGCCCCTGCTAAGTTGGGCCTTCCGAGAGGCCCTTGCGCATTTCTTCTCAAAGGTAAACATCAGAATTCACAAGCACTGCCTGTTTATGTATCTCTACCTCTAATTTAGCTTCAGCAAGTGAAATTAGCCCATCATTGTCAATTCTGCCTAAAAGGTTTTAACAGTAAAATGCAATAGCTTGGGGAAAGTTTCTGTTATGGGGGTTTCTTTTGTTTTTGCTTTGTACTTTTTATTTCAACATAAACACTAATACCACCACATAGACATATCTGTTCAACAAAGAATTACTTCCAAATCACTAGCAGGAATACAAGTATGCAGGAGATACACTAGAGTTCATTATAATGGAATCTGATCTATAAACAATAAGCTATATCTAATCATAGAGAGAATTTTTTTCTTCTTCCTGAAAAACAAAAGGCCTATAAACTGCCAATTGGTAACATACACTACACAAAGCCAATCAAAATAGTGACAATGAAGACTGAAGATTTAGTGATTAAAGTTTTGTTTTCAAAAGAAAAAAAAGCTGTATCTCTGAAACACTAGTTACATACATTTTTATCACATATTTTAAGTTAATAGCACTTTATATGCTCTACATAAAATTAAAATCTAACTTCTCAATAAAATTCAAAACTGTCCCTATGCTCTGTCCTGTATATATAGATTTTAGAAAACTGTGGATTTGTTTACTACCAATTACTTCAACTAAATAAGCAATTTAAAGTCTGAATGTTGTTTTAGATGGGTCATATTCTATATAATATTTTAAAATAATTACAGTTTAAAAATGAGGAACACTCTAATAAGCAACAATCAATCTCAAAAGTGTTGGTACTGTTTACACATATTCTGAAATCACAGTCCGTATGGTGAGGTATAGATTAAAATGCTGACGGGAGAAATCCTATCTCCCAAATTCTCCTACCTGTTGTCTGCCCATCACCACCTATTTCCACTTTTAGAATATGCAAAGAGGCACCAAAATTCGGCTGTGAAAAGAATTAACAGTATTAACATAGTGCTGTATTGTATGATACTTCAAGACAATTACTAATTACTGCCTTACGTTTTACACATGCAAAAACAAAAGTAAAACTTCAAATAGCAATTTATTCCAAAAGTAATGCGCCATTTTTTCAAAACCAGAATTTTGAGGCTAATAAATTATAGGTAAAATTCACCCTACAGTTTCTAAAATATCACAAGTATCAAGAAATAATTACTTTTTCATTACCTTAAAGAGATAATCCAATATCTGAGAACGATAGGGCTCTGGGTAATTTACTAGAAGTCGGGAGGTTGCCTAAAAAAATAAGTTTTTAAAAGTATGAATAAAAGAAATCCAATCATGAATATTGGTCTACAGTGTTCATGCACACCACCTGGTATACACATATTTATCCTTAGGCAAGGTCAGGCTGTGGAAAAGCGCCTCACAAGTTGCTTATCTGCCCTTTCTGTGCCAATCACTGGGCAAGTAGGGCTGCTGTTTGTCCAACAGCTAAAAGGTTCTCTTCTTTTGGGATGAGGGTTAACTGGGAGGTAAGCTTGCTAACCTCATGATCACAAACTTATCTTGAAATTCAGGTTTTCTATCTTGAGACCAACTGGCAACAGTATCTCAGGGCTAAGATGAGAGGGATGAATGTCAGGAAATTTTTCCCCTTAACATCTTCCAGAAAAACATCACAAGCAGCAGTGCTGAAAGGAAGCACCACTTTCCCCATCCTCATAAATTCTACCTGTTACTATTAAGAATAACTAGCAATAACCTCCAGACCAGGCCGTACTAAGAAAACTTAACCCAAGAGTGGCATCAGAATGCATGGAAAGACAAGGGTGGACAGTGCGGGGACCAACAGCTGATCATGCCTGGACCATGGCATACAACTATTTGAAAAAAGAAATCACAAAACCAATAACTGACCTATAATCTATCCTTTGGCAGGCAATATAATCAAAAAATAAACAAAAAGAGGCCGTTTTTTGGCATGAAATAGTAGCACATCCTCAGGCTTGTAAACCGGACAGTCCTAGGTTCAAACTGCTGACACTTTGCCAGGTGTGTGTATGATGACAGGGACAAAATACTTCCCTTTTATGGGGTTTAACTTTCTATTTTATATTCTCACATATGCTACCACTGACATTCTGGTAGTGCCCATATCTACTTGTTCTCACACCCAAAACATCCCCAGTCCCTACCAGTGAGACAAAGACCCATGGAGCTGCTCTCTAGTCACTCTTCTCATCTACCTCAATATATCCCAAACCAAACATAGCATTTTTGCACCTATCTGCTCCTTTTCCTGAGCTTGCTGTCTCAGTAACGAACACTGGCCTCCACCATAAACTTGGGCCACCTTTTGTCCAAACGTCTCATGCACCCTCAATCACCAAGATACCCTTAATAGCTCTCAAATCCTTCCTCTACTCTTCAACCCCACTGACTTACCTAGGCCTTCCTCACTTATGAGAAAAGCCTAAGTGGTCTCAGGGCATCCCCTCTGCCTCTCCCTCTATTCTATCTCCCATGCTACTTACGAGAGCAACCTTCCCAAAACACAAATGTAATCGTGAAACTCTTCTGTGTAAACGTGCTAAGATCATCCCTTCCCCAAAAGCTTTCAGGATAAAGTTCAAATTGCTCAATTTTGCACCCAAATCCCTTAATTATTCAGTTCCCAACCCCGATACTTTACCCCTTATCACTCTCACACCTTCTATCTAGGTGTATCAAACAATGTTTTCTATTCTTATGCCTGGAATGCACCCCACATCCTCTCTTGGACAACTCCAATTCACCTTTCAGCTTAAATTCCACCTCTTCAAGGAAGGATGCCTTTTGACCCTGCTCACTGACTTGATGTAAGTGCCTCTCCTTTGGGTTCCTTTGGCACCAGATCCATATCTCTATTATAACACTTTGAACCCTGCATCCTCATCACTCCTTTACTTTTCTGACTCAGCTCTTAGTTCCTTAAGGACATGGACTGAATCTTCTTCAAGTCCGTATCCTCATTCTTTGTTATTCAATAAACACTTATTAAATATTTTATAGGTTCTTTTGTTGCACAGGTACAGGCAACATAACAACTCCATTTGACTCTTTAAGTCAAATGGAGTTTTTATCCTGATTTCATCATTAATAACCTATGTAATCATAGGCAAATTATTGTAAAGTGGGCTATCTTACTCATTCAGCTGTTGTAAGACTAAAATTAGATGTATGTAAAGGACTTGGCACATTACCTGGCACATAGTAAGTTCTCAATAAAGGCAAGTGTTATATATAGAAATTTTTTAAATACATATTTCTCAAAGAGCTTACAACCTAGCAGGGGCTCCAATATCAAAATAGGCAATCTTTAAATGAACACTGTATAGGCACACTAATATATCCTTGATCTAGGTAAACAATGCTTCCTGTCCTACACTATGCCATTAAAACTGTGCACTTTGTTGTCTAGGATTTATTCTGCCTTCTATGCACTCCCACATTTAACAGAGAAAGTATCGGCTTTAGGCAAACACACCAATTATGACATTGCAAACCTATAGCCACACCTAACACAACAGCATAAGTCAAAGGCAATATAACCAAATGTTAAAATGCACCATCAAGCAGTAACAAACCACAGGATTACCAACCACACTGCCTGAATGAGACCTGGAACTGTTTACAGGCCCAGGAAAAAAGCCCTGGGAACATTTCATCATCCAGTGGCCTTGAAATAACTTCCTCCTCCCTAATCCCTGAAACTGGTTATTAACCAAAATCAGTAATGTGAAAGACATCATCCTAAGTACTTCAGGTCTATCCTCACGATGCTCCTACCATGTGGGTACATAACTGTATCCCAAAAAAAGAAAGTGAGACAGAGAGGAGTTGTAATAGATAACCTGCCAAGGTCATACAGTGAAGTGGCAGAACCCAGCATACACTCTTGGCAATCTTCTCTTTAGTCTATATTCTTTGTTTTGTTTGGTTTTGGTTTTCGGGTTTTGTTTTGTTTTTTGAACGCAGTCTCACTCTGTCGCCCAGGCTGGAGTGCAATGGTGCGATCTCAGCTCACTGCAACCTCTGCCTCCCGGGTTCAAGCGATTCTCCTGCCTCAGACTCCCAAGTAGCTGGGGACTACAGGCGCATGCCACCGCGACCGGCTAATTGTTTGTATTTTTAGTAGAGACGGGTTTTCACCGTGTTAGCGAGGGTAGTCTTGATCTCCTGACCTTGTGATCCATCCCCCTCGGGCTCCCAAAGCGCTGGGATTACAGGCGTGAGCCACCGCGCCTGGCCCTACATTCTTTTTTTTTTTTTTTTTTTTTCTTTTTTTTTTTGAGACGAAGTCTCGCTCTGTCGCCCAGGCTGGAGTGCAGTGGCGCCTAGCTCTACATTCTTAACTACTTACTGTACCATACTGCTTTCCCTCTCTGACATAAAGATTAAATGACAGCATTCTAAACACTTACTGCCACAACTTGGGCTAGGGACCAAGGACTCCACAAAGAAGTTTAATGTGGTATGCAAATATAATGTTGCAAGAATTTTCATTATTTAGTGAGTTCCTACGAGGAGTAATGCACTATACAGGGATACTAATAATTGTTGTATATTCTATCAGATTAGATAGGAGTTTCCTACTCTGAATTATGAAATGATTCTTCTCATCTTAGTAATTTTAAACTGGGCTTAATAAATCTAATGGAAACAAAGACTTCCATTTTTCGGTAAGCTCTTACACTAGATTTAGTATCACAAGTAAAGCTATAAAAACGATGGGGCCCCATTTCATGAAATATTGGCTGTTTCAGGTTTAGACCAAAAACATAAAAAGGAGAATAGTAGTAGCAAAGAATAAATGCACTAGCTCATTGACCCACAGGTTTCCCCTGAAACACACATCAGCACTGCTGGAGAGACTGCAAATTAGGGAATAAAAACATAAAATCAAAAAGGATCCGCTAACTCCAAGGGAAAAAAATTTCCCCTAGCAGGTTATATCATGTGGTCAGACTACCGACCAGGTCATCCTAGCAGCAGGCATTCAGGCTTGTTCTGAGTTGAATGTAAGGATGCAAGCTCCATCCAACTCAATCCCAAAAACCCGAGTTCAACGTTAACATTTTCAAAAGGAATTAGCCCTAGATGTAATTTCAGGTACAAAAACCAAAAAACAAAAACCTCCTCACCCAAAGGTCGGCCACCATGAAGCCCGTGGGCCCAGAGGGAGTACCTGGTAGTTTCAGGCCGCTCGCTTATATTCCTTTTAAAGACACCTTGAGGCACCAGTCCTGCCTCCAAACAAAATCCTATTCGGCGCTACCCTCTCTGGAGAAGCCCATTCTTACCCTGCACTAACAACTGCCCGGGACTTACGACTCCACCACCCACCAACTCCCCCAAAAGGAAGAGACACAGCCAAAGTATCCCGCTGGGGCGTTCTCTTTCGCACACGGACGCTCCCGCACTCCCTGGCCCTTTCTGGAGCGACGCTCTCCGACTGCCATCTCCGAGATGAAGACAGCCTGGGCCCCATTGCCTGGGACTAGGACCAGCCCCGGCTTCTTCACTGCTTAGACCTGTCACTTTACTCTCTGGACCTCCGGATCCTCATTCGTTCAAACCTAACTGCCTCTGTGGTTCGTGTTAAACGAGAAAGCACCCGCCCCAGCCCCGCAGCGCACCCGCCCCAACCGCCTGCTGACGGGCACCCTAGGAGAGTGCGGCCGAAGGTGGAGCGGGTCGAAACGCACGGCAACGCCGCGGGGGTTTGTGGGGCGGGCTCTTGTCGCCCCCCGCGTATCCCCGCAGCTCGCCGCTCACCCCGCCGCCGCTGACCGCGCCGATGCCGTCGAACTCCCGGCCCAGCCCGTCGGAGTCGTCGAGCACGTACGCGCCGCCGGGAGCCAGCAGCGCACACAGCAGGAAGGGCACTGCGGCGCGGCCCGCCGAACCCGCGGCGGCCGTCATGGCTTTCACTCGGCGTTGCCGGGAAGCCGAGAGTAGCCACTCAGCCATTGTGTGGGTCACATGACTCCGGCGCCCAGGGAGGCGGGTCCCGTCGCCGCCACGATAGGTACGGGCAGGAGGCTGCTGACGCTGACGCCGCCGCCGCCATTTTGAGTGCGGATCAAGGGCCACTGACGCAGCCAGCGCAGGTTTGAGGAAGGAAGCGGCGAGCTTTTTCTTACTGCTCGCCTGTTTGTGGTCAGCCGCGGGATTTCGCATGTACTTCTCTTCCGACGTCACCTAGTGGAGCACTTTAACGCAGGGAAGGTGGATGTCCAAGGTCCGCCCAGGGAAGAGGGCAATGAGTGGCCCTACCATGGCTCTTCCCCAGCATCTCAGGGGGTATCTACCTTGTGCGAGGACCAGGCTTGGACCCCAGGTCCCAGTTCCATTGTTATCTTGGTGGAATCAGTTTGCTTTTGGAGCCTGAGCTTTCCCGTATATGAGATGAGGCGAGAAGAGCGGCAGTGAGGGACTGAGAGAAAAGTTAATAAGCACTCAGTACATGGAATGCATTCCACAAGTGGCAAATGTTAGCTGAGAAGGTTCTCCAGTCTGGAAACTACCCCGGCATATTCAAGGCTTTTAGCCTTGAAGGAGTTAATAATATACCACCTCAAAATATGCTGCTGTGGCATATTGACTATTTTAAATTAAAGGCGCTTAAAAACAGCAGGTGCAAGATCACTCTCATGGATATTATGTGCCTTAAAAGGAGGAGATGAAATTCCCATGTGAAAGATGTCTTCCCTATAAAATAGCATTCTTATCTTCAAGGACAGAAAGTTGAAGTCGAGGGAAATCTGTCCAAACAAAATTTGTTAATCCCTATCTTTCTAGTCACTTCTCTACCCAATTAATTACTGTAGCCCAAGCCCCTTCGCCTTATGTTTCACAACTTACTGTTTTTTGTCCATTTCACTCTATAAGCAGTTGACTCTTAACTGCTGCTCTAGGTTTTGTTTTTGTTTTTGTTTTTTTTTAATGAGGCCCCCCCCCGTGCCATTTAAAATAAACAAATTCGTGTGGTTCTCTCCTGACAGTCCATAAATATCTTAAATCGATTTAATACTAGGGCCCTGCTGAGACCCTACAGGGATGAAGGTGAAATTTTGCCTCCCCTACAATTTTATAAACTATCTTCCACTGTCAGTTGAAGTGATTCCAGACAGATAACTCTAAATTGGTAGGAAAGTCGTGAATTGCCCTGGAATTTCTGCCACATCCAGCACTGTCCTGAGATTTCTGATTTCCTTGTTATTGAAGTAAATTAAAGAGACTCTGAAGAGCTGCAGAGAAAGATTTTCTGACCCCCAAATTTCTCTTAGCAGAAGTATGGAGCTGGTTGTCATTGCCTACACAAGCCCCTGAGATACCACAATGGCAAGGAAAAGACCCAAAGACTTTAGGACCTGTGGGATTTGTCTGCAGAACCCTATTTGGAATCTGATTGTTTTGCCCCTTAACCACAAACCTAAATCTAAGTTTCAAGAACTCAATTATACTTGAAGGTCAAAACTCTGGGCAATCCAATAAATACGCACATCAGGTCCTCTGATATCCCTGGGTTCTTAATGTACATTAGCTATGTTTGTTCTTTCTTTCTGTTTAAATTACATCTATCCTGGTTTACTAAGGACAGTCACAACTTTTGTCTGAACGTAATTATTGATAATGCTCCATTCACCCTCAGTAGTATTCTGGCTTGGATCAGTTAAATAGTCCCCTGTATATGAACCACTTATTTTCTTTGGTTTCTTCTTTCCCCAGTACAACACGAATCTGAACTCTCTGCCTTCCCACTGCAACCAGTTTATGATGCAAGTCAGTAATTTTCCAGTTCTGTGGATTTACTGTTACAGAATTCACTCTGATCCATTTGTTCTAACACAATATATTAAGCATGAGCTGGAGCTCCTGTGGATACAAGCCATAGTAACCATTCGATCAAGTGAATGTTAAGCTTCTCTTACCAGCTCTTAACAAGCGCGTAAGACCCATGTAATACCGTGACTAGATGGGAAATACCAAGGTGATAACAGAGGAAACCACCTTACACATAAAGTTAGGAAGTTGCATGATGATGATGTATGAATGCCCAGCATACACCATCCTGTAGCACATCATTGTCAAACGGGTCAGTGGTCAGTGGTCTCGTTGTCTGAGGTGTTATCCAAGCTTGTCTCACAACCAAAAGAGTTAAGGAGTGTGGACACCAGAGTGATGTTGAAGAGAGAGTTTATTATATGAAAGAAGAAAGCTGTCTGCAGCGGAGAGGGGTCCCAGATGGGTTGCCACTATTACAGTTGAATCCAAAAGCTTTTATAAGAAACTCCTCTCATCTCTGTAGCTGTTTGTGTAACTTACTGTAAAGCTATCTGTGCAACTCCCCTTATCTGTGCAGCTGTGGGTATGTCTTGGGTAAGGATACAGTTCAGCTTCTCTTTTTTGTGTAACTGTGGGTTCTAGGTAAGCACCCTCTCCACTCCCATGCAAGTTCCCATAGAGCCCACCATGTATGTGCCTGAAAAAGGGGAGAAACTTTTTCCTAGGAACCTGCTAATCACCCAAAGAACAAAAGGCTTCTATGCTGGGCCTTCCTTTCTTTATCAGTGCAGCTGTTGCCTGAGTTTTCCCCAGGCCACTCTATTTGTGCCTGTAGCTTGATTTTTCAGGCTGTCTTTCTGTTTAAAAGAATTTTACCAAAGACCAACTTTAGCTGTCTGCCCAACTAAGTTTTCCCTTTTCTCCGCCCTCAGTTGCACCTTGTAGTTGGAATGCATGCCACAAGTATTTGAGCAATGTGTGAAATCTACAAAAGAGGAAACAAACTCTAAGGGAAAAGGTAGCCTCACTCCCAGAAGTCCCAGTAGTTCCTATTAGTTCAGTTACCAAAGAAATTGCTTACCAGATAAATATTTTTTGTTTCTAATTTCTGATCTATAGTCATGAGACCAGACATGAGGCAAGAAAGTTTCTAATAAAAGGCCAATAAATACAAGCTGACAGAGATCCTTGGAGTGCTGGGCACAGCCCTCAAATGTACTCACGATGTGAGATAAGGAAAAATGACAGTTATCCCACAAGTGATCATATGCTTAGCTTCCCTTGCGTCTGTGGATCAGGGTCAGTGAGATAAGACGGTAAGAAAGGAAGGTCCCAGTTTTCAGATTTTAAATGAGTTTAAAAAGTAATGACAGTGTTTCTGTCTCTCTGTTTAATCTGAAACACTTCAAGAATTTGCATGTTATCGTTGCTCAGGGGCCACACTGACCTCTGTACCATTCTAGTGTTCATAAATGGTCTACCAAAGGAAACACGATGATTTTTCTCTTAAATAACAAGTGTTTCTAAGTATCACAACTACACCTCAGCCACCCCACATCTCTCCTTTTTCTAAATAAAATAATGTGACCAAAATCAAATAGTCTCTTGAGAGGGATCAGAGATCTTGCCTTTTAATGAAAATGTATTGATAAACTCTAATAGCAGTCTGGATTTTTTTTTTCTTTTTTCTTTCCCCAAGACTGTCATAAAACAGTATGATAGTAGTCTGTTGTCTCACTTCAGGAAAAGGCTTTACTTTTATAAATCAGTCTACCTCCCTTCAGTCTACCATCGATGGGCATTTAGGTTGATTCCATGTTTTTGGTATTAGGCTGTCAGAAATTCTAGGGCAGAGGCCAGGTTTATTTCTTATTTGTACATCTTAAGCACAGTGCCCAAACTATGCTAAGTACTCAATAAATATTAGTTGAATTGAACTAAAGGCAAATCATAGCTAATGTACGTTAAGAACCCAGGGTGATCAGAGGACCTGATGTGCATATTTATTGGATTGCCCAGAGCTTTGACCTTCAAGTATAATTGAGTTCTTAAAGTAGGAATCCCCTGGGACATAAGAGTGTAGAGTGTTTTCTCGAACTGTCCTGTAACATCTGCTATATTTTTTAACTTTTATTTTAGGTTCAGGGTACACGTGCAGGTTTGTTACAAAGGTAAATTGTATGTCCTAGGATTGA